TGGGTGGCTATTGTGTTGGTTATTGTCTTTTTTTTTTTAACAGTCTATGGGAGAAGAGGTCATTGGCCCTGACTAAAGAGTCTGTCATTGCATGTTTTAGTGATGAAAATTTTTGCAGCACACCGGTTGAAAAGCTCTGCTGTGGAGCCATGAGAGAAAAACAAGAGTCCACAAGGCGAGCTGGATCCCAGGAGGCGACCGAGCAGAGTCCAAAGGGTGTGAGGCCCGAGAGGAAAGGAGCCGATTGATGACAAGCGATGGGTGTGCTCTGCTCCAGAAGTGGTTGTCTCCAGAGAGGCAGGAGGGTAGGGAAGGATTTCGGGGAGACTAGAACAGCGAGCGGAGCTGGTGGCTGCGGGCTCTGCCACCCAGCTTGGTGGATCCTGTGGGAGGGCGTTGTAGAAATACCCTCTGTTCCAGGAACTAGGACCTCGGGTCTGAAACCTGGTGCCACAGAGAGACGGTGCATCTTGGTTGGTGGGATGTGTTGAGCGAGTGTCGTTTCTTGAGTCTCCTTTCTCTTATGGGTTGCTCCTCCTTCTTCCTCATCCTGCAATTCCAGTCCATCAGCAAGTCCTGGCGGCTCTTCAGAAGGTCTTTGCAATGGCCCTGCTTCTCTCTGTCTCAACTGGCAGGTCTCTAGTCCACCCTTTCTCTCGTCTAGACTCCTGTTGTAGCTCCCTGAGCATCTTCCTGTTACCCTGTTTGCCCCAGTAAAACCCATTCTCCATTTAGCAGCCAATAGGAACTTTAAGACAAATGTTAATAGCTTTATTGAGATAGAAGTCACATAGCATACACATTGCCCATTTAAAATGTTCAGTTCAGTGGTATTTAGCTTACTAATATGGCCGTATGGCCATTACCTCAATCAATTGTAGAACATTTTCATTCCCCCAAAAAGAAACTCTGTTCGTAAGCAGTCCCTCCCCATCCACCCCCACTCCTCCGACCCCACCAGCCGCAGCCAGCCACTGATATCCTTTCTGGCTCCACGAATTTGCTTCCTCTGGGTATTTCATACAATTGGAATCCTATAGTGTGTGTCTGTTGTGACTGGTTCCTTTAACTTAGCAGAATGTTTTCAAGATTCATCTGTATTGTAGCATGTGTTAGTATTTTTATTTGCAAATCATATTCCGTTGTATGAATAATACCACATTTATTTATTAATTCACCAGGTGCTGGATGCTTGGGTTGTTTCCGCTTCTTAGTCTTTGTGGATAAGGCTGCCATGAACATTTATGTATGAGTTTTTTTGTGTGCAGATGTATTTTTTTATTTTTCTCGAGTATGTACTCAGGAGGGGAATTTCTGGATCATTTGATGATTCTATGCCTAACTTTTTGAGGAACTGTCAAACCGTTTTCCAAAGTAGCTGCACCATTTAAAATTCCCTGAAGTCCTGTGTTAGGGTTCCAGTTTGCCCACAGCCTCACCACCTCTGTTATTCTAGTCATCCTAGAGATATAAAATCATAGCTCATTATGGCTTAAACAAAATTTGTAAAGATTTTATTTATTTATTTTTAGACAGAGGGGAAGGGTGGGAGAAAGAGGGAGAGAAACATCAGTGTGTAGTCGCCTGTCGCATGCTCCCTACTGGGGACCTGGCCTGCAATGCAGGCATGTGCTTGGGAATCGAACCCACAACCCTTTGGTTCACAGGCTGGTGTTCAATTCACTGAGCCACACCAGAGAGGGCTACTTCTGTATTTTCTTCTAAGAACTGTATATTTTTAGCTCTTATACTTACATCTGTGATTTGAATTAGTGTTATATATGGTGTGAGGCAGAGATCCACCTTCATTTTTTTCCGTGTGGAGATTCAGTTGTCCCAACACCATTCATTTAAGAGACGATTCTTCCCCCATTATATTGTCCTGGCACCACTGTCAAAAATTAGTTGACTGTAAATGTGAGGGTTTATTTCTGCACAGCAGGAACCTTTAAAACACCTACATTGTAAGGGGTTGGGGAGGGAGAGTCAGTGATTGGAAAGGAGCATAAGGGGGGCTTCTGCGGTCCCGGGAATGTTCTGTTTTGTGAACTGAGTTCTGGTCACAGAGGTGTGTTTAGTGTGTGAAAACTCACTATGCACTTAAGATAATGGACTTCTCTTTTTGTATATTACACTGCAATAAAAAGTTCTTTTTTTTAAAGAAGTTTATTGGCCGTGCCTTTGTTCAGTGTACCAGTTATTGTTGCTTTGTAACAGACCACCCCAAGTCACTCGTATAAAATAATCATATCGTTGTGCTCACAGATTCTGTGGGTCAGGAATTCAAAGGGAGTACAGTGGAGATGGTTCCATGATGTCTGCGGCCTCAGCTGGGAAGACTCAAGGGCTTGAGGTGACTCAACAGCTGGGCTTGAGATCAACAGGAAGTGTCTTCATGTGTTTGGTGGGTTTTCCTGGTGACTTGCTTTGGTCTCAGTTGGCTTGTCGCCTGGAACATCTGCACATGTTCTCTCCATGTTGTCTCGCTACCTAGGGTCATTTGGGCTTCCTCACAGCATGGCTGTGGGTTGCGAGAGCAAGCGTTCCAAATGAACCAGGCGGAAGCTGTATTGGCTTTTATGACCCAGCCTCAGAAGTCACACGATGACGCTTTTGCCAGAGTCTGTCTGTCATGATTCAAATGGAAGGACGTATACCTTCATTTGAATGTCACAGTATCATTGCAGGAATATCATATAAGTTGGGCGATACTGTCACAGCCATTTTTGTTAAAAGAGTTTATTTACTTTTAGAGATGGGGGAAGGGAGGGAGAAAACATCAATGTATAAGAAACACGTTGATCAGTTGTCTCTCTCGCTCCCCCAACCAGGGACGTGGCCCACAACCCAGCCATGTGCCCTGTCTGGGAATTGAATGAGTGACCCTTTGGTTTGCAGACCGACACTCAATCCACAGAGCCACAGCAGCCAGGGCAATCATGGCCATTTTTGGAAAAGAAAACCTGTCATACTTGGACAAATGAGTACTACTAGAAAGAAAAATTAACAGAAAAACTAATCAATTTATGATTCCAATTTCAACTGAATCCTTGACACCACTTGGCAATCCTACATCATTTCTCTGATGAACTTGCTTCAACTTGGCAATGGTTATGTCAAACCTTCTCTGCTGTAGTAGACACTATGTATCCCTGTCCCTGTCTATGCATGCCCTTTAAGGAAGGGAGGAAAGCTAAACACTTTCCTAGCCTTTTTTGCATGTATGTGACGTAGTTCTGGCCGGTGAGATGTAAGCAGAAACCTACTGGGGTACTCCTGGGCAAATTCTGGACTTGAACGAGAAAATAATGCATGCAATGGAGGCAGCCAGCCAGACCGTGACCCTCTGCTCCTCCACCTTCTCTCATTTTCTGCACAGATGGCCTTCCTCCATCCACTTCAGTGAAAAGTCCTCAGCTGGTCATTGTCTGACTTTCCTACCACCTAACCTTCCTGTTACTGGAAGAGACCTTGTTCTTGCCATCAGGAATTACAGATCAGCCCTGGCTGGTGTAGCTCAGTGGATTGAGTGCGGGCCTGTGAACCAGAGGATTGTGGTTCGATTCCCAGTCAGGGCACATGCCTGGGTTGCAGGCCGGTTCCCAGTGGGGGGACACACGAGAGGCAACCATACATTGATATTTCTCTCCTTCCCTTCCCCTCTAAAGATAAATAAATAAATAAGAATTACAAATCAGCAGATCTATCAGTGTGCAAGCAGGGTTTATTAGTGATACGTTTTCGTGGAAGAGGAATGGGCCTTGCCACGGTGCGGGGGGGGGGGGGGGAGGCATAGGTTCAGGGGAAAGCAGGGTAAGGGCCGCCTTTGGCCAGGGTGGCCAAAGAGCCAAGAGCGCCAAGCCCATCCCCTCACGCCCCAGTCCTTTGTTCTGAGGACAAAACGTAGTTGGCGGTAGGAGGGGTGAGGGGTTTACATATTGACCGACAGGTAAAGGTGGTGCCAGCTTTGGGAGGTGGGGCATGAATACCCAAAAGTGTTAATGGGCTTCTTCCTTTGGGCCCTGTGAGCCCTTTCACACCTTTCAGGCGTAGGGATGAAAGCAAGGTTTCAAGGGCTTTCTTTCCCAGAGAGTGAAGATAATACACAGAATTTCAAGGGCTTCCCCCCTCCTGCCTCTATTTCCCCTCTGGCCGCTCCTTCTAGGGTAACATACCTACTTAGCAGCTTCCATGCCATGGCGTTTCCTCCTCCCCTTCTATCGGAAGAGGGATCCCTACTCCATGGATTGGGGAGAGGGGGTTAAATAGGGAGATGCCAACTTGCATCCATTTTATCTTCCTCTTTCTTTCTGTGTTGGTTTTCTGACCCGTCCTCATGTTCTGGGCCTCTAACACTCACCAGTTGTGTGGCCTTAAACAAGCCATTCCAGTAGCAAATTATTTTATCCAGTGGATTTAAGTCCAGCGAAAGCACGGCACCAGGTGCTGGGGTCTGCCAGGGCTGGGAAAGAGACAACCCAGGTAGAGGGAAAACTCTTTAGAAGGCAGGAGCGTGGGGCCTTGGAGCTGAAAGCCGCATTGTGTGTCGGTTTCCTGTACTTGCTTTCAAGTTCCTTAAGGGCAAAGATCTATATTTTTTACGCATCTTTGTCTCCAATATGTAGGCGCTTAATAAACGCCTGTTGGATGAATAAAAGATATCGTGGAGTCCTCCACAGACTTCAGGTATTCAATCAACCGATCGATACTCTTCCTCATTCCTCCCTTCCCTCCTCTCTCCTCGCCCAACCTCCCACACCTCTCCCACACCCACTCCGATACTCTTCTGGTTGTCTGGCTTCCCGCCTCCCTTCCAGGCCCCGCCCCTCCGCCGCGTCGCGACGGCGGAGAGGGTCAGGCGGGCTTTACGGCAGCCGCGTTGCGGCGGGGCGGGGCTCTGGGCGGCTGGCGCGCTTGGCGGCAGTAGTGGGAGGCCGGCCGGCAGGCAGGCAGACGGAGTCGGAGGAGGGTGGCGGCGGCTGTGCTCGCTGGTGAGGGCGGGAGGGAGTGAGTCACTGAGCGTGTGTGAGGGAGGGAAGGAGCGAGCGATCGCGCCCGCACCCTGCGCCGGCTGTCCACAGCACCAGCCAGGCCCTGCCGCTGCCCGCAGCCCTGCGCCGAGGCTGGGCCGAGCCGAACCGAGCTGGGTCGGGGCCGGGCCATGCTGCTCACCGTGTACTGTGTGCGGAGGGACCTCTCCGAGGTGACCTTTTCCCTCCAGGTCGACGCTGACTTCGAGCTGCACAACTTCCGCGCGCTGTGCGAGCTCGAGTCCGGCATCCCCGCAGCCGAGAGCCAGGTACGCCGGGCGGCGAGCGGGGCCTCCCTCCGGAGCTAGCCCTCCCGCCTCGGGGCCTCATGCCCTTCCTTGCTCCTGGTGAAGAATTGGGGGCGGGGGAGCAGGATGGCCGTTTCTCAGCTCGCCCTCGCATCCGGGAGGGAGCTGGAATCGGTGGCTGCCCCCACACACGCCCAGCGTGGGGTGGGGTGGGGTGCTAGGGGAGGGAGCGGAGAACCTGACCTCAGATGCACCCGCTGCAGCCTGAGGGGCGCGTGGACTGTGTTGGGCGGCCCGCCCTACCTCCTGGCTCTTCGGCCCCTTCTCCCTTAATGTCCCCAGTCTGGGGTGTCTTCCTGGACCTAAGAAGAAGCGCTAGGTTTCCAAGAGTTCAGACACCCCGCTTCCCCAACCAGAAATACCAGTTTGGATCACTGGTAGAGAGGTGTTCATGGGCACTTTTGGAATGGGTTCCTGCTCAAGTAAACGCAGTTTACCTTTAAACGTACAGATTTGCGCTCTAAGTGAAGGAAGAAGTTTGAGACTTGGCACTACCTCGTTTCGAGGCCTTTGGAAATGCTCTTTTCCCCTTTTCCGTACCACCTTGGTTTCTGGTTAAATTCTTTCAAAAAAGAAAAGCAGTAATTGGCGCGATTCAAAGTATTTGTTTCTCTTTTCTACGCTGGTAGGAGGCCAAAATCCCTCTTTCTTTCAGGTCACAAGTGAGAGTTTCGGCCAGTTCAAAGCTCAGGGCTTTATGAGGATATTTGCTTTAAAATGGCCTACTGTCTTCTCAGTGTGGTTTGCTGGTCCCCTTTCCCGACTCTGCTGGGTAGAAGTTCAGCTGGTCTTGCGTTCAATACGCTAAGTAGTTTATTCTCAAAATGCTTTGGGGCTGCCACCCCACAGATTTGGTAACAGTAACGCTGTGGGCTTCACACTAACATTTAAATCCTGACTTGATAAGCGGCTCGTGGAGCACGTAGTCTAAATATCAAGAAAATTAAAGAAGTTCTCAGAGGCCCCAGAATGCAAATCTTGATTTCCTACTGCAGTTATGAAATAGTTCCAAAAACTATTACCCAACTACAGTTGGGTTGGTGTTTTCTTCAGAAGTGATTATGATTCCTTTATAATGTGACCTTTAGAACTTTGACATAAACCTGATACCAAGAAAATGTATTATTTCAGGGCACAGTGTCACTCAGATATGCAAGTCTGGCAAAAGCTATAAAGAAATTGGTAAAAGATTTCTTTGCAACTTCTGTAAAAAGCTAATCCACAAAAACTAAGGAGCCATTCCTGTTGATGAATCTCAAGCTAGGAAAGGGCAGTTTAAATATGGAGGAAAATTCACTCTTACATTTTTTTTTTCAGAAATTTTTATTAACATTTATCCTCCTTATACCATACTGTTTCACCTCCACCCACCCCCTCACCACCTAACTTAAAATTTTGTTAAAAGATTTTATTTATTTTTTAGAAAGAGGGGAAAGGAGGGAGAAAGAGAAGGGGAGGAACATCCGTGGGTTAGAGGAACACTGATCAGCTGCCCCTTGCACATCACAGCTAGAGACCTGGCCCTCAGTTCAGGCTTGTACCTGGTCTGGGAATTGAACCGACAACTTTTGGGATGGTAGGCTGGAGTTCAGCCCACTGAGCCACACCAGCCAGGACTAACTATTACATTTTTGAAGGTGGTTTTTCTCCCATTGTTTTCTTCCCTCTGGCTGCCATATTGACCTGGTTATAATCACCAGCTGGTAGGGGAAATAAAAATTAAAATGTAAACTGATTTTGTTGCTTTTAGGGTTTAGGAGAAGACAGATGTAACAAAAGATTAAAGAGGATGTCAGACTGAAAAAACAGTTAATTGTATGGTCAAAGCAGGCACTGTCCTCTGTTAGCTCAGAATATTAGGAATACCTTACCAGTTGGAAAGCTAGGCTAACTCCAGATTCTTACTCACTGGGTCAGCATTTTGGCATTTACTTCTATCCCAAGCCAAATTAGCATATGGGAACTTGGGCTCCAATCAGCATTAAGCCTGTATTACAGAGCTGTAAATAACTCCTCTGTTTTTCACGTTTGTTCTGTTGGCTCCATCGTAACCTAACACAGTCTCTATTTTAAGATGTCTGGTGGTCGCTTGCCTTTCGGTTGCTAGCCCATGGGGCAGGAACAGGATCCACCCTAGACACTTGAGTCATTTCCTTTCACCAGATCATAATAGTAAACATCATTACAGTTTTTTGCACGCAAAGAGATCATCTTCACTCACTTGGGTTCCCCCCAACCTTTACTTCCCAGAGTTCTCCCTCATTACTCATCTTCCCTTCCTCCCTCTCATTAGTTCTGGTCTCTTTACTGCTTGTTATTTGCCTTCTCCATTTTCATCCTTTACTTCACACACACACACACACACACACACACACACACATACATATATTTTTTAATTTTATTATTTTTTTAATGTGCTGGCTGTTCTTTCCTGTCACTGTGTCCAGACCATTGGTCCCCAAACTTTTTCAGTCATGTATCCCTCAGAGTAAAATGTTTTGATACATGCATCTTTGTGATGTATATCAAGTGTTAGGTACACAAGCTTATGTGCATTGTATGTGCATATATTACATGTATGTAATTAAAAATCAGTGACATATACCTGAAGTAAAACTTTATGTACATTAAAAACAGGCACAGAATAGAATTTAGGGAAGTATAAAAACAAATGAAAATTCTAATATTTCTTCTTTCTTCATCCTTAAAGTGTTATCTTGCCTTGAGGACCACTGGTTCAGAATTCAGTCTTTCACAACAGCATTGATTGTGCATAAGCATAAACTTGGAAAAGGTGTTAATTGTTAACATCTCTGGTCTGATTATAGTAGTTTTAGTCCAGTGATAACAAATTTAGAATAGAAGCCATCTCTACCTTGTACATGTGATTAAATCTGGGCTCATTCTATCTTTTACTACAGGTGTGGGCTTGGAAGCCAGGAAAGGCTCTGTTTGATGCTTTGCTGCAGACTTGGCTGGGCAAACCTCAGTTATCCGAACTTAGCTTTACTTTAATGTTCTTGTATTTTTGAAACATTGTTAAACTTCACCCCTGTACGTGGCATGTGGTAAAGAGGGTGCAGAATATGTGACTCTCAAATGAAAGACATTTAAGTGCCAAGTAATAGCAGTAACTGTATGATCCTGGAAATGTAACTCTGTGTACAGCATGATTTGTGGTTTGTAAAACACTATTTTAAACCAGTGGAAACTGAAATTTTCTATTGTAGTTGGTTTTGGTGTGTTTATTTTTGCAGGTAGTTTTCGTGTGCTTTTTTCCCGATAAAGTACTATGTACTCATCATAGAAAACCTGTAACATAAAGAACACAACTACTTATTAGTTTATAACTCAGATAACTGCTATTTACCTTTTAGTCTGTTTTTATAATCTCCCGTTCCCTTTATATAATTCAAATGTGTCTTTTAAACATGATGGCCTGAACTGTAATTTCATATCTTCAGTAACTGTTGCCAAGTCATCTTCAGAAACGTTGTAAAAAGTCAGGCTATTACGTGGGACAGTGTATGTGGATAACTTGGCATGTAGTGGGCTTTCAATGCATGGCAGATACTATTATGAAGCCATTCAGATGTGATTCCAAGGGTTTTGTGGCCAGTTGATGGTCCTTTATGCTAGAGATAACGTTACAATTTCTGTTGATTGGAGGCGCTCATTCAGAGACCAAAAAACATTCGACATCATTCTTAAAAGTCTTGGAGTTGGATGAATTAGATTATTGTTAACTGTTGATGAAGATTAGAATCCATCTCCAGGGTGCCTCCTGGTGTGGGCACCAGCAGCTGGGCCACTTCTGCAGATTGAGACCTGTCCTTGTGTGAGTGGCTCTGCCCTGTGTTCTCACAGCCGTCACAACTTGAATTCTGAGGTTTGTGGGTAGCCTGTGAGGGGAGTATTCAGGTGGTGGGAAGCATCACCACCCCCATGCCCCAAACTCACGTTGTCGTGGCTGGTAAAAATCTGAAACCGTGGTCTGCGGGATACTCATGTTAAGTTAGAAAATGGTCCAAATTTTATTCTGGGATTTAAGAAGCAAAATAATTGTCTTTCTTAGACTCTTGAGCCTATTTTAGCAAAGATACTAGTTCTTCCTAGCAGTGATCATTTCATCGTAAGTTTTTGTTTCTTTCATTTGTGTCATCCTTGGGTTCCTGCCACTTGGTCATTGTGAAGAATGTTTGCCCCCCACCCACATTGACCAGTCTAGCATTTTTAGGAAGCTGAGGCAGGTAGCAGTAGTCCCTATTTCATACACATGTTTGACGTTAGTGATTACCTGGATCTTACAATTTTATTGTTAGATCAGGCTGCCCTCCCTTAAAAGGATTTCATTGGCCTCTGCGGAAAGACTGGGCTGGCTGACAGTGGAGTGGGGTACAGCATCTGTAAGGTGGGAGTCCAAACAGTGCTGAGTTGGCGGTGTTCTTTTCTTCGTGTTCGGGGCGGGGAATGCTTGCTGCTTTGATTCCCCTGGGAAGTATAGGCCCTTCTGGTGGCTGGTGGCTTATTAGTTCTGGTTAAGGTCACCCCGCTAATTTACCAGGCCGCTCTGGACCGATGTTTGGGAATGTTGTGTGTGGCATTGGGGAAGGGTCTGGGCTGTAAAGTGGGCCCCCGACCCCTGGCTCCACTCCCACTTCTCCTCTCAATAGCAGGGTAGCCTCAGGTCATGCTCCCTGTCCATAAAGTGGGACGAATGATGCTTGCCTCTTAAGATGATTATAAAACTTAAAGGAAAGGATATGACGATTAAGAGGGAGACAAAGAACCTATTGCAGCGATTTTCAACCAGTGTGCAGCCAGCTTTTCAAATGTTTGCCGCACCTGACTGTTGATTGAGTCGGGCACTGACCTCTCTTCATTGTCAAATTAAAGCATGACAGCAGCCAACACAAGCATCTTCTGGTGTGAGTGAATCCAAGTTTTATCTTTTTTTTTCTTTTGGTCAACCCGCCAAAAATTATTTTTTAGCATGCCACAGAATTTTAGTAATTAGTTTCCACGTGCCATGAGATGGAAAAGGTAGCAAGTCACTGACCCTGTGAGAGGCTGGCTCTTTATTGTAGAAGCTCTGAGTGGCAGCTCACTGGCTGTTGCAACCAGGCTTTCCCACGGGGTGGTTCCAGCCTCCAGGTGACCTTGTGGGTAGGAGCCCCCTGATTCTCCGGGTTTCGAGTTCTTGTTGGAGATAAATAAATGTTCTCTTTCAAGTACAGTCAGAATATGTCGACTGACTGCGTATCTCTAAATGTACTGAATGTTGAACTTCCGAACCTGTACGATAAAGAAGTGGCTTTAGACCACTGGGGCCTTCACCGTGGCAGCTTCACCACACTGACGCCACCTTGTGTGACCTACCCGCATGGCATCACTCTCGGCGTGCCCCTTCTTTCTCGCTGCACTCCACCTGGGACGGGTCCCTTCAAATTTAGGGGGGTTCCAAGCAGTCCTGCAAGTTACGAAATGATACTTGGGTTGAATCGCACACGATCCATGTGGATGCTGGTGTATAGTTTCTTGTCCACTTTTGATTCTGGTGTGTTTTTGCTGTGAGATACATACTTAAATATGTTGATGTGAATGGGTTGATAGTGACAGTTGCAATTTGTCGTAACATGTTTTAAATTTGCAGGTGAGGGAAAGAAGTAACAATACTTTTCTAGTCCGAGTGTAGAACTTTTGAAGGGTAATTGGATCTTCAGACTTTACTCATCAATTTTTTGCTCATCCCCAGAACTTTTTTATTTTGAAGGGAACCAGATTCAGTTTCCTGTTAGCTCTGTTCCTTATTTCACTGCAAATTCTGAGAACAGATGTGACAGATCTTTTTATTTTCCTGTTTAAATCTAGTTTAAATCCTGTATTCTTCCAGTTCTATGTCAGGCAGTCCTAACTACGAAGAGTTACAAGGCCGAGCGAGGAAGCGTTGTAAAATGGTAGTGTGGCAGAAGGGCCTGGAAAGGGCGGCTGTAATGGTCATCCAGCCCCAGCGCTTGCTTAGCCTGTGGGAAATGTGAAGCCTGCACCAGCGGCGCGACGGGGCCCTGCCAGAGCCGGGACAGAACTCAGGCTCCTCAGTTTGCGGGGAGCCTGGTGAAAGGCGAATGGTGGGGAAGAGAGCTTTGAAAGCCCGAGTTTACTCTGAATGCCCCTCCGGAGAGTATGGACGCAGGGACGGTTTCTGTGCCTGCGCGCGAACTCACGAGTGCCGCCTTCGCTGCGGTCCCGTTCTTTCCAGAGCGGATTGTTTCACCTATTTTCATGCGCTCAGGCTTTCTTCAGTGTTTGATTGCATATAAAAAAATGTATTTTTATTGGTAGTACATCCCTGTTCCTTTTTTTCCGTTTGTGTTTCATTGTTCTTTTCGGCATGCCTTCCACTTTCCTCTTCCTCACAAACATGAGTGATGCAGCCGGGGGTGGTAAAAAGAAGGATGCAGGAAGGGTGGTCTTCAGGAATCTGTTAGACTTGCTAGTGTGCAAGATCATTTAAAATGAACACATTGAGATACAATGTACAGCATAGTAACTAAAGTTAATGCTGTATCATATATTTCAAAGTTCCTAAGATAGTGACTCTTTAAAGTTTTCATTACAAGAAAAAAAAATGTGTAACTGAAGTGATGGACGTTAACGGAACTTACCAGAGTAATCATTTTGCAAAATACCCATGCATCAAGCCATCATGTCGTATAGCTAAAATTAATAGAGGTTTTATGTCCATTCTTCGTCACTACAACTGGGGGAAGTGGAAACATTATTTAATGGTGTTGTAGTTTGCGTGCGGAGATTAAATTGTTCCCATTTCCCTCCCTGCTTAAAATTAAGTCTGAAGTTACATCCACTACATTTGTAGATTTGTTCATCCTTTAACCCAACAAATAGTTGGGCATTATTTACCTAACAGGCCCCGTTCTAGGCATTTGAGATACGGGAGCAAAGCCAAGTTCTTGTCCTCAAGTAGTGGGGGCAGGAGGACAATACAGAAAATAAATATACGTGTTAGATGCAGGTGATTAGAAAAGGCAAGGTGATGTTTGGTCAGAGATCTGAAAACGACCCACAAAAGAACATTCCTCAGGCGGAGAGAAGAGCAGGTGGAACAGCCTGGGGAGGAAGTTGACACCTGAGAAAAGGGCAGCGGTATGAGACCAGGTCAGAGAGGGAGCCAGGGGCCAAAGTGTTTGGTTGGGCCTGAGGGCATGAGAAGGGCTCTGGCTTTTATTCTAGGTGTGATGGGAAACCTGTGGAGGGTTCCGAGCAGGAAGTAACATTCATTATCTGATGAAGAAGAAAACTGGTCTTTCTTCTTCGCTCACTGGTACTTCTCAGAGCCTTGTACTGATCTGTCTTTTCTGGTTGTAGATTGTCTATGCCGAGAGACCTCTCACAGACAACCACAGGTCACTGGCTTCCTACGGCTTGAAAGATGGGGACGTCGTGATTTTACGACAGAAGGAGACTGCCGACCCTCGACCTCCAGCGCAGTTTCCAAGTAAGACATCACAAAATGGGTTAGCACCCCCGGCACACACGTCAGATAGCGCAGCAGAGTGGTTCGGAGTTTGGGGTCAGCCTTGGATCCTGACTCCTGCAGTTGATAGAATGATGCGTGTAAAACCTTCAGCACACAGCAAGCCTGGATAAGCGTTAGCTTCTGTCTCATCGGCAATCGTTTTGCCGTTGGGAAGGACCTGAGAGGCTCCACGTGCCTGATTCCTGGCTGACGTTCGCCGCGTGGCATCTGGAGTCTAGCATCAGGCTTTGTAGTCAGCCGGGTGCTCGCGTGTGATCTCTAAACTCAGGTGTAGGGGTAGCGGTTCCGCTTTACAACTCACTGTCATCAGCAGGTGAAGCCTGATTTTAAATAATGGCTTCCAAGTCACATAGCCAGTGAGTGAAGGCATGGGAATTAAAACTGCTTTTGCCATCACACTGAGCTTTATGAACATTAAGCAGCTAGATCACCAATTTCTGGTTCTTTCTCATCGGCTTTGTGAATCGTGTAAAAAGAAACCTAATTATCTCAGATGCTCCATCCAAAGGAGGAATTTATAATCTGGAATCTGTGCAGTAGGATCTGGGATGTTTCTGTGTCCCTAAAATAAGCAGAGTTGTGTGGGTGTGGGCACTTGAGGGGGGCAGGGTTCATAGCTAAGATACTCAGGGGTTACGATCTACTGAAGTTTATAAGGTTCTGATGTGGAACCACTTGGTGAAATGTGTGCTTTTCCCCACTTCCTACTGTGTCCTGATGGGTTTCTTTAAACAGTGTTCAGTCTCCGGGTCACTTGGTTTAAAGTTTGCACCAACATCCGATAGGTGTCCAGGCGGTGACAGTCTCTAGCCCAGAACACTGCTTCCATTCAGCCTGAAACCGGGGCTGTGGAGGTCATGAGCAGCGCCCCTCCCAGATCTTGGCTACATTACTCCCCTGGGGCTATGGGTCAGATAATGCCGGTCCCCAAAAACGAAGTCTCTGATTTATTCGGCGAGACCGGTGGTTGTGGAGACCTGCTGTTCGTTCGCCTTTGTTTCTGTTTTGTTTTTCCTCTGCCCTCCCGTACAGACCAGAGAGCCAGCAGTAGGGGAAAGGGTGGGGTCTGGTCTGTGAGGCGAACAAGTATTTCAGAATAATTCTGGATGAACGGGTGTTCAAGATAAGTTGAACAGGGTCTGAGATAAAATTTCTCAACCCAAGGAAGGCTTGCCCATATACGTTTTGCTGATTGGTCTAGTTTACCTCACAAAGATCGTGCCAGTCACTGCCCCCTGCCCGCTGAGGTCTGTTCGAAGAAGGTGCCTAGATGAACTTGGGCGGAGAGGCAGAAACCTTATGTCTGAGTGGAAGCGTTTCCCCCTTCCACTTGGGGTCCAAAAGGCTTCGGGTGGCCCCAGACTTAGGACAGGTGTGACCATCAAGCACGTTTTGGGATCAGAGAAATGTGGGTTCCTTCAGTCCTAGCCCTGAATTCTGGCTCTACTTCTCTTTTCTTCTTCCTTTTTAAAAGTAAAACTCTTTTTAAGTAGTAGCTTTATTGAGATCACATGCTGTACGACTCCCTCGTGTAAAGGACACAGTTCGAGGGTTTTTAGTGCACTCACAGTTAGTTACACAGCTGTCACTCCGATCAGTTTTGGCTCATTTCATCACTTTACCCAGAAACCCTGTCGTTGCTCATCCGCCCCCGAGCTCTGGGCCCCATCAGTCCCCTCTGTGTCCTTTGTGTGCTCTCCTGTCCTGGACGTCTCATGCGAGCAGCGCCATACAGTGTGTGGGTCCTCTGTGTAAGGCCCCTGTCACCATGCTTTCTGTCTCCTCTCCTGCCAAGTGACCGCCCCTGCGGCGCCCTGGGGCTCTGAGCGGAGCCAGCAGTGACGCGCAGGTGGAAGTGCAAATTTGGAGAACTAGTACGCGTAGCACAGGTGTGTGGAGTTTAACACCTAACGTGTGTGCTGCTCACTCCATTTGTGTAGTAGTCTTTCTACTCAAGGTGTCATGGGCTTGACCATGGGCTCTTTGAAGCATGTGTCAAAGCAGACCAGGATTTTTCTTAAGAAAAATCCAAATTTTTGTAGTTACATTGGAGGCTAGCTTTAATTTTTCAAAAACAAAAGTAAATAAAAACATCTGTTCTGTGATACTTTATAGTAAGCCGAGAAGTTGGGGTTACTACATAGTCTGCTCCCCACCCCCTCCCCACTTCTGTGTTTTTCCTACCTGTTCACTTCCAGACCGCAGTCTTCATGTTCAAAGCCAACACAAGACTCTCAAGCCAAGGGAGGGGGCGTTAGAGCGTCTGCGATGGCCACTCCCCACGGTCACGGACCATGTATGAGCACGTGTTCTGCTGTTGCCCTCAGATGCTTGCTTTTATGGATCATTTGAAGTAAACGATCGATTTTCCCCAACAGACCTGCCCCGCATAGACTTTCGTAGTATAGCTGTGCCTGGCACATCGAGCTCCCGGCAGCGGCAGCCACCAGGAGCACAGCAGTCCCACTCGTCCCCCGGAGACCTAGCTTCATCTCCCCAGGGCTTGGACAACCCGGCCTTGCTCCGAGACATGCTGCTGGCCAACCCCCACGAGCTGTCCTTGTTGAAGGAGCGCAACCCGCCCCTGGCAGACGCCTTGCTCAGTGGAGACCTTGGTAAGCGGACTCTGAAGGGCTGTCCGGCCGGTCTGAGGTGGAGGAGTGGTGCTGCAGCCAGCGTGGGGAAATGCGGGCGACGGGGCGTTCGGCCCCGCGTGCCGTGGTTTGTGGGGCGTGTCAGCCAGTGCAGGAGGTGACTTAGTGCAAACGGCAGAGGCCGAGTCAGTCCACAGTAGCGGCGGGGTTTCGGGCTGCACAGAGTTCCCACAGAGGTCCAGCCACACCGCCCCTTCCGTTCCCATTTTTTCCCTAATTATGTTAGCAGCACGTAAGCCAGGTACTGATATTTTAACCTGTTTGGTCAGGCCTTTAATGAAAGAGCAGCGATAAACTGCTGGTGCATTTCAGTCACGGGACACAGGCCCCAGCACCTTCAGCTTGTAGGGCAGAGTGGAACCCCACGCCCTCATCCACCCCAAGTTTAATGAAAGATGAGTCATTACCAAAGGTTACTTTCCTTTAGTTAACAGAACATTTATGTTTAGTCATCTTGATGAATGACGTTTTCTCTGTAAATTTTTCTAATTTTTTACTTGGGTTTATGAAACTATTGATCAGATTTAAAAACATAACATACTTAATGAAGCATTCTTCAGTAACCTTTTCGTAAATTGAGATAATATTTACCTACAGAGAAATACACATTTTCTGTATAGGGTTCGTCAAGTTTCGGCTAACTCATGCTTCCACCGCCCCAGTCCAGTTCTAGAACACCTCTCTCCAGAATTCCGTTCTGTTTTCCTCCGTCTCCGCCCCCACAGGCTGCCGCTGTTCCGCCTGTCTCTAACCCTCATGTAAATGGAGTCCTGCAGTATGTCATCTCATGCCCAGCTTCTCTCACTTAACTTCACGTTTTTAGATTCATTTATATTGTGTGCATTGACTCATGCGACCATTATCTTAGTTGCTTTAATTTCTTGCAGGGCTTGTCTGATTACCAAAGGCCATGATGTCGGCCCACTAAAGCTTGCACACTAAAGCTTACACACTTACGTGCCCCGCATTTAAGAAACAACAAAATAAAGGTGGCTTTTGTAACATACCTGATAGCAAGCAACCTTTTTCTCTTTACCGATTTTCCTGCCTGTTACCCACTGGGTAATGTCGATAGGCTGACAGTAGTTTGCATTTAATTTGTCTGCTTTAAGGCAGAGAATGTTATAAAGAAATGAAACTGGAAGAGGAAAAGGGAGTTTGTAGTGCTCTATTTTGCTCTATTTTATTTCTAGGCAATGGAATAGTTAATAAGGGCAGTGGGGAGGGGAGGAGTGGGGTCATTCATGTGCTACACAGATGTCATCTCCCAGATTTAAATTGAAAAGTCGTTATCTCTGAATGAAAACAGTAAGATGGATAACTTCTTACAAGGCTAAATGATTTTTCCAAATCCTTTATTTCTTTACACTGAATTAAAGTGAAGAAGTATTCTTGCCTCAGAGAATAGTAGATGTAATTGCTCATTTAGTTTTTTAGGTATCTTCCGCATCTCTTACGGTTGTATTTTGAGAAATTGTCTGATGTGGGAAAGTATTAGGAACGGAGACAGAGCGGTACTTAAGGTTTCCACCCCACCCCTTACTTTTGTAGAGAAGTTTTCCAGGGTCCTGGTGGAGCAGCAGCAAGACCGAGCCCGGAGAGAGCAAGAAAGGATCCGTCTGTTTTCTGCTGACCCTTTTGATCTTGAAGCTCAGGCGAAAATAGAAGAAGATATAAGGTAATGATGCCTGCACCTGAAGAGCAAGAGTTAGAGCGCACAGACTTCCCAGACTCCTGGCCGTCTGGTGGTAGTTGGCCATCTGCTTTGAGATGGATTCCTTATTTTGCACTTGAGATAGTAACTTCAGTCTTTTTCTTTATTCTCGTTTTTCCTCACATTTTGATTCAGTATGACAGAGGTACCACATACCTAACATAATGATTTTTCTCTGCTGAAATTTTAATAAAGACCCCTGATAGTCCACAGTGGATTCAAGCAAACCCAGGTGGGTGGCCCAGGACTAAGCAGAAGCCCCCGATTTGGTGAGACTGCTAGGCTGGCTGCAGAGGCTGGTCAGAATCTCTCTTCAGACATACTGAGCCCTGGTGGAATCCAGGGCTTGTGCATGGTTAGATTAGGGGAGAGTGCCCTTCCGTGGCTCTTGTCCTGGCCTCAGTGCACAGACTGACTGCCAGGCATGTTTCCAGCTCCAGCTCCCTTCTGCTGTGGTTCTCACCTTCGGTGGCACTAAAATCACGTCAGAAGCTTCTCATAAGGCAGGTGCCAGGGCGCCCCTCCCAGCCCTGGTGAAGCCGAACCTGCAGGGGCGGGGCCTGCGCAGGAACAACGATGCCGGTGCTGACCTTGGTCACAGTGCCAGTCACAAGCCAGACGCTGTTTGGTCAGTTCTTTGAGAAAAGACAGCTGCCCCCCCCCCCGCCGCCGCCACCACCCCGTTCAGTTTTTGTGGCTCATTTTGATGGTTTTAATACACGCAGGGCCACACCTGTACCGATAATGCTTTTAGGGGCTTTGTCCTCGCCTTTGGTTATTGTACTTGTACGAAGCCTCAGTTGGTCATCACATGCTACTGCTGTCAGCTTGGAAGTCACGTAACGGTTTCTTCTTTTTTATTTCTCTGGCTGCATTTGAATCAAAGAAATGTACATTGTACACCAGAATCACTTGAACCCCTAAGCCATTCACTTGTGTTCTTGTTAAGCGTTCCCATTACTTGTATCAGAATTTTTTTTTAAGATTTTGTTTATTTTTTAGAGGAAGAAGGAGAGAAGCATCACTGTGGTTGCCTCTCACGTGCCCCCCACTAGGGACCTGGTCTGCAACCCACATATGTGCTGTGACTGGGAATCGAACTGGCGACCCTTTGCTTCAAAGTCTAGTGCTTGGTGCAGTGAGCCACACCAGCCAGGGCTGTATCAGAAATTTTATCAGAACTAATGAATATACTTGAGAAACATCTCACTAGTTAAATCTACCCAGGGAAATAGGGAGATGTTTGTGTTCTCTGAACTGGACTGCATTGCAAGTATAAGAGAACCTTACATAATTCTCAAGAATAATTGGGTTCAACCCAGGAAGCAAAAGGGGTGGGAGGAAGTGTGATGATGCAACAGCCAAACCGTGGCAGGGAGCTGTTGGAAGAGTGGAAGTGAAATCGGGCATATTTGTGTGGCTCGTGTTTTTTCCCAGGGCGAGGCAAAGCAGTGGGTGATGCGCACGGCCTTCCAAAGGAGGAAACCTGGTGCCAGTAAAAGAGGCTCTACAGACAGAGCCCAGAACTGCCAGAGTCACCAGTGTCATCTCAGATTTTTGCTGAAACTTAACCTTGGTTGGTGTCGTTGCAATGTCCGGACTACACAGCTAATTTTAGGTTATTTCTGAACTTAATAATATAGCAGAGGAGAAAAGCTGCGTAATTATATCAGGTGTCAATTAAAGTTCGATTCAGTGTGCTACACCAGTGATTACACAGGGCATGTGTACACTGAGGTGTAACCGCTTGCACATCTGCCTGGCGTAAACAAGTGTGCCTTTGAGTTCTCTGAGAAGTTTAGTATTTTAATACTGAGTGGCTGAAAAAAAAAAACCACATCAATTCAGTCGAGCTAGATTGCTAACTGAAAAAAGGACAGTTTAAAGCAGGGTCAGCAAACTTTTTCCACGAAGGGCCAGATAGTAAATATTCTAGGCTTTGCAGGCCACAGTGCAGTACAAAACAGCCAGGCAGTGTCAGCACGGAAATGAGCGGTGAAGTTTATTTACACCGACAGTGGGCTCTACTTCGCCAGCCCCTGGTTTGCAGTGTAATTTATCTAAACCCAGAGCCCTGGTCTGTTACCGTCTCAACCTTCAGCTACGTGGCCTAGCCCTTGCCCTACTTTCCATTAATGTTGGTCATATTTGGTTACTGTTTAAAAGGAGGCCGAGGATGGAGACGTGTGATGCTAGAGTAAGCTGGAACTCCCTTTTTTATGCTTTTTCTTTTTTTAAGACTTTATTTATTTATTTTTTAGAGGGAAAGGAAAGGAGAAAGAGAGGGAGAGAAACATCAGTGTGTGGTTGCCTATCGCACACCCCCTACTGGGGACCTGGCCTGGGACCCTGTGGTTCGCAGGCCCATGCTCAATCCACTGAGCTGTACCAGCCAGGGTTATATGCTTTTCTAAAGTAAGGCTTAGAATGTTCAACTTTTGGAGAAATTATTTGATGGTCAGGTGAACAACGATTCATGTGTGGTTGTTAAGCGATGGCTAGGTAGGTAGATGGATTTTTCATTAGTGTTTTTTGAACACCTGCTTTTATGTTGGGCATCGTATCATAGTAACAGATGCTCTCTACGTCTCAGTGACCCTTTAACAGGATTTAATCTCATTTTACAATTAGAAAACCCAGTCTTGTAGGTTAAGCAGCAGATTCAACACAGGCAGTTTTAGGACACCTGTGTATTACATTTGCAAACAGTGTTTAATACACTGGACTCAGGAAATGTACCCAGACACCCAGTAAATCCTCAGTTAAAATTGAGCATTCATGAAATTCTAATATTGTACATACAGGATAAGAAGACTGTGACCCTTACTCTCCAGAAGTTCTTTTTCCTTTTTCTGAGCTTGTAAAGGAAACAAACATAGTCATCTTAATGAGAGTAATTTGTATGCCTTTAATTTTCTGCTAACTCTGTACCTCACTGCCTCCTACTAAATCACATACTGCAGGATAGAGCACCAATTTACATCTCAGTGAGTCAGCTGCTACAGCCAGAGCAAAAGATACGTACAAGTCTGTTTTTAACATCATGACTTGGAAACAGATCTCTCTTCGTGGAACTAACGCTTTGAGTGTACCTGGTTTTGGTTTCTTACAGGCAACAGAACATTGAGGAAAACATGACGATAGCTATGGAAGAAGCTCCGGAAAGTTTTGGCCAAGTAGTGATGCTTTATATTAACTGCAAAGTGAATGGACATCCTGTGAAAGCCTTCGTTGACTCAGGTGACGTCTCCGTCATTTGTGTCTTTGTCTCCATCCAGCATCTGCCCTGACACGGGGAGTGGGAGAGCCCGGTGTCTCCCACCAAAGACGGCGTCCGTCCGTTGGACTGCCAGCCAGCACACCTGGGGGGAGGGGGGTCTCACTTGCCAGTCTTTTCTTGTTTGTGATAGGTTCGTTGCTTTAATCACTTTTTCATCAGTTTTGTATTTGCAGTGTTTTCCTTTATCTTCTGCTTCCCTCTCCTGAGTTCCTAGGACACCTCTGCGGCATTGAGGAGTCTTTGGGTTTAGAGTGAGGGGCTCTAAGAGGGAGCTGTGTGGGGTGTGTGGTCAGGCAGGCGTTTCTGCTGGTCTGCGCCGTCACTTTGCCAGGAGCAGTGAGGAGTGTGGACTGTAGGTCATGGTTCTTGCCCTGAAAGAACTTGATAGCCAAGTAAGCAGGCAGGGAGTTTTGCACTTGGGGATTCAGATATTCCCTGTACTAACCATCACCTTATCTGTCCGTAACAGCTCTTTGCTGTTCACCACACACAGCATCATGCGGGTGTGACGGCGGCCGTGTGTGTGTTTACTCCGGGTACGACTTTCTGGAGTAGTAAAAGCCCCCCGCTCAAGAAAGTGTTCCCCCTTTTGTTCATCCACAAATACTCGAGTGCACGCTGGGTCTCAGCTGTTGTTAAGATCATGTACTGAGACGCACACGTCCCTGGGAGAGGTGTACTGGTGATTACTCAGCTGTGAAAGTCTGCTCAGTGCGGGGCCTTGTGCTGAGGCTTGGGGGTCAGACTGCTAACTGGTGGGTCGTGGGGCTCCTGTGAGCCGAGCACCGTGCCAGGTCATGCTAAATTAACGAAGGTACCTGGTGTGTACTGCTTCATTCACTTTTGTTCAGTCCCCACAATATCCCCATAAACTGTTGTGCTCTTACCCCTATCTTACAGATGAGGAAAGTTAGAGAGCAGGGCACTCCCTCTTCCAGGTATACAGAGTTCACAAGTAGTAGATTTTGGGTTCAGCCCCTGGTCTGCTTGATGCCAGGAGTCTAAACCTCTATGGAAAAGTTGGGTGCGTGTTGGATGAACCTGGAAACCACATTCTCTCTGACTGGGATGCTCAGGTGTGGCTTCAGAAGAGAGGCGTCTGGACCGAGCTGTCTCCCCGGGCAGGGGAGTGGGGCTTGGAGCTGAGGCTTGAGAGGGGGCGGGAGAGCGGTGAAAGGGCCCCATTCCTATCCTGTGCATCAGTAACTAACTTTTGTGGAGTGAGGTGTGGGGGGGAGAAAAACGGAAACTACTTTTCCAAGTTCCCTTTTCCTTCATTATTTCTGGGCCTTCTTGAATCCGTAACCTTCCTCAGATGCGAAGGCCTTTCGGTGCCCATAAGTGTAAGGTGCCTGATGAGCACTAACAGGAAACGTTGGGGTTGAACTTGGGGAGATATGGCTGGGAAAGGACAGTCTGCTGGGCAGGAGGTGGGCCTTGAGCTGAGCCTGAAAGCACCAGTGGAATTCAGAGAGTGGGAGCAGGCGGGGGACACCCTGCGGGAGGGTCAAAGTGAGGAAGAGGCAAGGGGAACACTTTACTCCTGGTGAAAGTGGAGGGTCTAGAGCATTTGGAACATAAGGCTGGTGTCCGAGTCTGTTCAGATTGCCGTAGCAGTACACCATCCACTGGGTGGCCCCAAACCACAGAGAAAGGAGTATGTCTTCCCACAGGCCGGCTCCCACTGCGGGGGGGATTGTGTCGCTGCAAGAGACAAGGCCCCACTGCCCGCTTCCTGGAAGTGAGGAGGGTCTGATGAGCAGACTAGACCATGGGAGTTCACTTCCAGTTTTCGGAAAGACTGCATGGTGTACTTTTTTTAACTGGTAAATTAGTGTCCCGAAGTTTGGGGTAGAAATAATTTGGTCAGATGTTTAGGGGAGAGACTGAAAATGGATCTGAATGTAAAGTAGCACTTAGTGAGCAGTTCCATCTGTAGACAGTTTGACTTTTCGGAAGTCCTTTCCGGGTAGTTTTGCTTTCCCTCAATGTCAAGTTTCTGCACCGTGGAACTGAAAGTTGAACTAAGCACAGCAGGAAACCGCTAGGTAGGAACAGCGCCACACAGACAAAGCCTGGGGGTGTACTTGCTTTCTGTCCTGTTCTTAGTGCTACGTTTTTAATTTTACCACAAGTGTGGGTTTTGTCTTCATTATCTGGTATTTCCCTCTACCTCCAGGTGCCCAGATGACTATTATGAGCCAAGCGTGTGCGGAGAGGTGTAACATAATGAGGCTGGTGGATCGTCGGTGGGCAGGGATCGCCAAGGGAGTGGGCACCCAGAAGATTATTGGAAGGGTACATCTAGGTGAGCAAGGGGCGTGGGGAGTCTGCGGGGTGGTGGACTTGAAGTTTTTCTCTTGGACAGGTACATCTGGTCCAATGAGCCTTAACCCTGAAAATTTAAACTCTATATTAAAGTCACGTATATGTGCACCTTTTAGCTGGAGACCAAAAACACCAGTCCCCCATGTACTTCTGTTTTCTGTTCCTTACAGGTCGCTCTTTCAACTGTTCAGCAGATTTCTATGGGTGCTTGCCTCCACGTGTCTAAACAACATGTCTGTAGTGCTATCTTCCTGGTGTGACTGTGTAGAAGCTATTGAGAGCCTAGCCATCTAATTGAAAATTAGTGATTTCCTTTGGGAATTAACCATTTGTCTTTTTTTTTTTTTTTTTTTTTTTTTTTTTAATCATTGGGTTTTTTTGTGCACCAGTCATCACAGACACTTAGCGAGTTGTGTAAATCTCCTCGATACATTTCATCCCATTGAAGACGCTCCTTCCGAAGCCCGGACGGTGAGGGCTGCTTCGTGGCTGCTGCTCTGGAGTTGCCCTTGACCCGGTGTCTGGGGGTCCTTTTCCTGGGTCTCCAGTCGGACCACACGAATCCTTGTCTTCCTCTTTTTATTTCGCTTCTCAGTTTATTACAGGATGTCTTCCAGTAACTTCACCAGAATGTGAGCGTGTCTTTTCTCCTCTGTTCCGGCGGTCTGGCTAAGTTGGAAATCATTTTCCTTCGTAGTTTTTCACAGCATTGCTACGGAAAAGCTGGCTGCTGCTCTGATCCCTGGTCCTGCAAGTGAAATATTTCTATTTCGGAAGGTTGTAGAATCTTGCCTTTGACCTCAGTGTTTTGAAATTTTACGGTGATGTACCTGGGTGTAGCTTTCTTTTCATCCACTGTGCTGGGTGCCTTTTAGCCTGAAAGAATGACTTAGAAAATGATTTCTTCTCTTCTAGGGTGTCTGTTATTCAGAGACAGTAATCTCCTATCCTGGACTTTGTTCCGGGTGGGGGGGGGGAGTTGGTGAGATGTCCTCAACTTTGTCTTCTATCCTTTTTGTTATGTTTTGCATATTTTTGTCTTGCCTGTTAGATGGTTTTCTCAAGTGTCTGGTGATCCGTGACATCTGCTCACATCGAAGAGTGGAGCACCAAAAGGCTATTTAGGAAAGATTGCTCGGGTGGGCAGCCTGGAAGTTGGGAGGGAGGAAAAGGTGTACGTCCCAGCAAAGCTTTGACGTGACCCCCTTGGTTTCGGTTACGTGCTAGGGGTTGTGCCCCGTCGTCCTCCAGGCCCGCCTGTGCCGTGAGAGTCTGTTTCACCCTCTGGTCTGCCGTGGAGGTGGAGGGAGGGAGGTGGGGAGGTACGTACCCGGGAGCAAAGTGCAGGGGAGGGGCCCCAGATCTGACTGTGCCGTAGACCTCAGCCGGTCTCCCTGCTTCGGGCCTGCCTCTGCCCCTGTTTCCAGAGGCCTCGTCGCAGCCGTCAGCCTCTGGGAGTGCCTGTGATGGCGGTCACACCGCCTCTGCCTTCTGGTTCCGCAGCTGCTTTGCTTGATCTTCTGTTATTTTTGTCCTTAGTGATTTTATCTTTACTCAGAAGTCTTGTGGTGATTTTCATAAGGGATGAATGGAGATAAACGTATGTTTAATCAACCCTTCATCTCTCCTCCAAGTTCTTTTCTTTTTTAATCTATTCCATAGATGCTCATTGTAGAGAATTTCAAAAGGAGAGACATGTGAAAATAAGCTAAAAATACCATAAGTCCTTTTAGGTGAGGATCAACAATTAGTAACATTTAAACATACTTCTTTTTGGCTTTATATCCGTGCATTTTTTCCTTGTAAAAGGTAGTCTTATGGTGTTTAGAATTTTATACTCTGCTTTAAGAAAAATTAACATTTGTAATATTTTTCCCAATATTACTATAAATTTCATAAGCATTTAAATAAACGAGTAACAGTCTGTTGTGTAGGTCTAATGGTCAACATTTGGGGTATATTTTTCCCCAATATTTTGTCATTGTGACACGGCAGTTGATTTTTGTGTGGTTTTGTGCAGTGATTTTTTTTTTCGTTAGGAGTCCTGTAAGTACTGAATCAAAGGTTATTACCACTGAGACCCTTGGTATTGCTAACTGGTACCAGTTTGCTTTCTCCAGCACTGAATGAGTATTTCATCTCAGTGTCTCTGTACAATTGAGTACTATTAGTTTTTACTCCTTTAATTGGTAGATAAAGCAGTGTCTAAATAACCTCACTCTCACATACTTTCCTACACACAGTAGGACTCAAATTGAGTAGGAATACCGCACATTGGTTGCTTCAGTGTCCCAGGCCTCAGACTCTTCCTGGCTTTAAGTGAGGAGCTAACAGGAGGAGGCAGATTGTTGCCAGTCCCTGAGTCCTTCCTGGGGGACGGGCAGGTCACACCGGTTTGCGGCTCTGACTCTGATCAGGAGAAGAAAATCATGTGATGCCAACAAGAGCCGGGCTGTGGGAAGGAAGACTCGGTCTGTGCAAGTGGTGCTTCTCCCACATCTGTCCACAGAATCCTTCTTAATACCATCCTGGTCCATCCAAGGGACGTCACGTGCCGATTCTAAATTTTACACAGCTCTTTACATCACACACAAAAGAGCCATTTCAAGGTTGATCGAAGGCATAGATGTGGAAGGCAGAGTCAGAGCTTTTAGAAGAAAATACAGGAGCGTATCTTGCATAGGAAAGGGGTTCTTTCAAAGATAAGATGAAAATGATTTGACAGATTCATCCATGTTAAAGTTAAGAACCTTTCATCAAAGGACATCATGAAAAAGTGAACAAATGCAACTTGGAAAAAGGTGTTAGTAATGTGTAACTAATACAGGATTCTTATTCAGGATATACACATGTTCTGGGTGTTTGTAACCCTCCAACTCTGTAAGAAAGACATAAAAAATTATATAAGTACTTTGAGAGGAAATCCAAATGGTTAATAAGAATATGAAAAGTTGCTTAGTCTCATTGTTAACCAGAGAAATGCAAAATTATTGCCAGATTACCAAGGTTTCAAATCTAAGCATAGGAAGTTTTGGCGAGAATGTGGAGCAATGGGAACTTTCATGCACGGCCAAAAATATTTTAGAAAACAATTCAGCAGCCCCAAGCAAAGCTGAGTGTAATATGTGCTAAAACCCTGTAATTCCACTGCTTAGATTGTACCTTGGAGGAACTCGAGGTCCTCCGGGAGACGGGTACAGGAGCACTCAGGTCAGCGTTGCTGTGACGGCAGAAATGGGAAGCGTCCCAGGAGGCCCCGTGGCGGTGCAGCGGGCACATCGCTTCCAGTGGGCTAGACACTGCGGTGCCACTGTAAGGGGCGGTGTAAAGCCAGAGACACGGTCATGTGCGCCTGGAGGGATCGAGTACCCCAAAATATTTTTGGAGTAAAACAGCAAGCTATAGTTTTTTTTTTCTGTGTTTTTTTTTAATTTTATTGATTATGCTGTTACAGTTGTTCTATTCCCCCTTTCATTCCCCTCCACCCTACCCCCCCATCCCCACCATTACCCCCCCTTTAGTTTATGACCGTGTCTCAAGTCCTTTAGATTCTATATTTCGCATGCTATTCTTGCCCCCCCTTCTATTTTCTATCTACTGTCTATGCTACTTATTTTCTGTACCTTCTCCCCCTTTCTCCTCCTCCCACTCCCCTGTTGCTAACCCTCCTTGAGATCTTCATTTCTATGTTTCCACTCCTGATCTAGCTGTCCTTTTAGTTTGCGTTTGTTTTAGGTGTGGTTCCTAATAACTGTGAGTTTGCTGTCCTTTCACTGTTCATGTTTCTTTCTTTTTCTTAGATAAGTCCCAAAAACATTTCATATAATAAGGGCTTGGTGATGATGAACTCCTTGAATTTGATCTTATCTGAGAAGCACCTTATCTGTCCTTCCATTCTAAATGAAAGTTTTGCTGGATAGAGCAATTTTGGTTGTAGGTCTTTGGATTTCATGACTTGGAATACCTCTTTCCAGCCCCTTCTTGCCTGTAAGGTCTCTTTTGAGAAATCTGCTGACAGTCTGATGGGGACTCCTTTGTAGGTGACTGTCCCCTTAGCTCTTGCTGCTTCTAGGATTCTCTCCTTCATTTTAATTTTGGCTAATGTAATTATGATGTGCCTTGGTGTGTTCCTTCTTGGGTCCAACTTCTTTGGGACTCTCTGAGCTTCCTGGATTTCCTGGAAGTCTATTTCCTTTGCCAGATTGGGGAAATTCTCCTTTATTATTTGTTCAAATAAGTTTTCCACTGGTGGCTGTGCCTTTCCCCCTTCTGGCACCCCTATAATTCGGATGTTGGAGCGTTTAAAGATGTCCTGGAGGTTCCTAAGACTCTCCTCATTTCTTTGAATTCTTGCTTCTTGACTCTTTTCTGTTTGGCCATTATTTGCTTTCTTCTGGTCCACTCCATTGATTTGAGTCCCAGTTTCCTTTTCATTGCTATTGGTGTCCTGTGTAATTCCATTCATTTCAATTAGTTTTGCCTTCATATATTTGTCTAATTTGTGGCTATAATCAACCAGTTCTGTGAGGATCCTGATGACCAGTGTTTTAAACTGTGCGTCTGAGAGTTTTGCTTTTTCTTCATCGCTTAGATCTATGGGCTCAGGGACTTTGAGAATTTGCGACATTTTTGGTCTGTTCGCGTCCTTTAAGTGTGAGAAGCGGGGCCTTGGACTCCCAGGTCGCTGGGTTGTGACGCTGTATGTTGGGGCGTGGTCAGAGCGGGGAAATGGCGACCCCCTCTGCTGTTTCCTGCCGCTGGGTGAGGAGCAGCGCCTTACACGTAAGGCGCTTAACCACGTTCACCTGGGCCGGGCCACTCAGAGTCGCTGTGTTATGATGCTGTATGTGGAGGTGGGGTCAGAGCAGGGAAATGGTGGCGCCCTCCACAGCCGCTTGCCGCGGCCCGCCGGGCCCCGGTCCAACCACCCACTCCCTTGCCTGTCCACCCGCGCACAAATGCGCGACCACAGTCAACACGCAGCACCGCTCCCCCACTGTTTCCCCGCGGTCGCTTGCTCGGTCGCTCGCTCGGTCCAACCCTGCGCCTGGATTCCACGCGCCTGAGTCTGTCTGACCGAGTTTTCCTGTGCAACCCCGCTTCACCAGCCGCTGGTTTCGCCCCTTACCGGTCAGGCTGAAGAATTTGTTGTTAACGGACTTCCGAAAAGTTCAATTTTCCGTGTTCTGGCTGTGTTTTCTGTTGCTAATATTTAGTTGTCTCTAAACTTGGTTGTGTGAGAAGGCACGGCACGTCCACCTATGCCTCCATCTTGGCGGAAGTCTCCAGCAAGCTATAGTTTAAAAACTCCAAAGTAAACCATATATTGCCTAGAAATCATACAAAGCTAGTAAGAACTCTTAAGAAATGCTGGGAGTGATTAACACAAAACCCAGCAAGGGTAGGAGGGTGGGAGGAAGCAAAGAGTAAGTTGTGATCAGTAGGGCGTATGGAGACTTGTTAGTTTCCTGTTTCTTAAATGGGGGAAGAGATGCGTGAGTGTTTGTTTTATTATGCTTCATACCAGACATGTATTTCACACACTCCTGTTTACAAGATATACTTACCACATTAGGCAAGAGGAGTGATTGACAGAGTCGAGGCAGGAGACTCCAAGGAAACAGAGGCCTTGGTGTTGTCTCTGGTTTGGCAAACAGAAACTTGATTATAATAGGCAGTAATGAGCAATTTACTTCTTGGAGGCTAATTTAAAAGGTTTAAAGTGTACAGATTTAACCTGGTTGGGGTAGCTTGAGTTTATTAGAGCATTGGCACAGTATGTCAAAGTTGCAAGTTCGATCCCTGGTCAGGGCATATACAAGAATCAGCTAATGCCCTGGCTGGTGTGGTTCAGTGGATTGAGTGCCAACTGGTAAACCAAAGGGTTGCAGGTTCAATTCCCCATCAGGGCACATGCCTGGGTTGTGGGCCAGGTTCTGACTTGGGGGCGTGTGAGAGGCAGCCACACACTGACGTTTCTGTCCCTCTCTCCTTCCCTACCCCTCACTCTAAAAACAAAATCTTTTTAAAAAAAGAATCAACTAATGAATACATAATTAAGTGGAACAACAAATGGATGTTTCCCTCTCTCTAAAATCAATGAGCAAAAATTAGGTAAAGCACACGGATTTTATTTCCCTTTTAGAAAATCTGTAAGTGTATAGAAGTGAGTAGTTTATTGGAGAAATTCTTTTTAAATCCACTTTACTGGCTGGTACCGTCACTGGCTTTTGAAACTGATTATTAATCTTCCAGGATTTTCTTTTTATACTTCACCTCTTCGCTTGCTTAGCCTGGGTTTGGAATGATTGTGAGAAGCAGGCACAGAACGGTAGACACGTTTCCAAAGTTTGTGTTGGGCTTTTGAGGCAAAGTCAGTAACTTCTTCTCTCCTTCCCGTGCTTTAGCCCAGGTTCAGATCGAAGGGGACTTCCTGGCCTGCTCCTTCTCCATCCTCGAGGAACAGCCGATGGACATGCTTCTGGGGCTCGACATGCTGAAGCGGCACCAGGTAGTTGCGCTGTGCTGTCCCTTCGTGTGGCCTCTGGTTGTTACTCATCATTTCTCGTGGCTGTGCGCTGGGAAGCTGGGAAGCTTGACTCTTCAAACCTGGAAAGGTCCTTAATTGATGATGATGTCACACGAAGTGTGAAATTATGTAGAAGTAGAATCTTTTGCGAAATCTGTCTGAATCTTAAATCGCGCCATTTGTTTTGAGATTAAAAAAAGGCAGTGGTTCTCTTGCGTAATTTTTAGTTTCTAATTAGAATTCAGGTAATTTTTTGATGGGTTTGTAGGGAAGTATAGGTAACACACAATGATGATTTTATATGAATGTAGGTTTAGGACGCCCTTAGTAGCTGGCCAACAATACTTGGGAAGAAGAGCTTCAGGATTAAGGGAGAAGGTACGCATTAGATGTTGGGAATAGAAATGTTTAATGCAGGGAGAATGATTTATAACTTCATTTGCAGTGAAATTTATATTTCTACTCCGAAGCCTAATAATTTCTTGATAGATAAACAATTCCCAGTAAAGAAACAATTTGTGTCCACTAGGTAGGAAATTTTTCACAAGTTTCATATCTAGTTGACATTTTTATGTCACTAATATTCTTTACATTTTTTAACATTAAATTTCTATAAAATGTATATTGCATTGAATCACAGTACAGAATTTTGAGTAAAAGGAATGAGTTAATGCACGTATAAATAAAACTGAAAGGTTTTCTTAGGCTCCACCAAGGAAGAAATGCCAATCAACCACAAAATTAGGCAGTATAGAGCTTTATTGGGGTTTGCACGCATGGGGCGAAGTTCCCTGGCCTGGGGCCAGGAAGTCACGCCCAAGCAGGGAATGTGGCAGGGTTTTATTCTTGTTGGCTCTCTTTGTGGAAGCTGGGGATTGGTCCCCATTAAACAAAGCGGCAACTCATCATTGGTGGTTCTCCTCGGGCTCAGGTTGCTATGCCGATAAAGCCCGCCCTTTCAGCACTGTGGCGTGACGTCAGCAGTCTTTTCCGGGTGGTAGTTCAGCCGCCATTTTGTCCTACCCCACCCATCCTAACAAAAACCTATTTTATTGTCAGTATCTTTCCTTTTTTTCAGTCATGGTATAGACCAGGAGTCTCCAACTTTATAGGTATAAAGCAGATATGTGGGTAACTGTCCTATATTAATTATGAAAATACACAGAAAAGTATGAAGTACAGAACCGTTTTATAGAGCTTGCCTTTCCTATGTAATTACTTTTTTGACACTATCAGTACAGAGTTTAATTATAAGCTATACTTATACAAGAATGAAAAGCAAAGATGTAAAAGTGTATAAATGGTATGTCTCAGTTTTATAAGAAAAAGTCACATGTTTATAAAAGGCAGGGTCACTGATTATGTCTGGCATTTTTCCAGATCTTGCACAATAAACATATGTTACATTTAAACTTAGAAATGAACATACAGCCCTGGCTGGTGTGGCTGAGTGTGTTGAATGCCAGCCTGCAAACCAAAGGGTCGCTAGTTCAATTTCTGGTCAGGGCACATGCCTGGATTGTGGGCCAGGTCCCCAGCTGGGGGCGTGTGAGAGGCAACTGATTAATGTGTCTCTCGCACATCGATGTTTCTCTGTCTCTTTTTCTCCCTCCCTTTCCCTCTCACTAAAAATAATAAAAATTGTTTATTAAAAATTTAAAAATTAAAAAAATGAACATACATTGTATTAGACAAATAAGTGTGAACTATCATATAGAGATTATTCTGATATAAATTTCAAATGTTAAACAAATGGGCCCTGGCTGGTGTGGCTCAGTAGATTGAGCACAGGCCTGCGAACCAAAGGGTCACCAGTTCGATTCCCAGTCAGGGCACATGCCTGGGTTGCAGGCCAGGTCCCCAGTGTGGGGCGCGGCACGCGAGAGGCAACCACACATTGATGTTTCTCTTCTCTCCTTTTCTTCCTCTTTCTCTAAAAATAAATAAATAAATAAAAATCTTTATTAAAAAACATTAAACAAATGCTATGTTAACAGTGTCACCTAGGTTAAAGTTTAAATCATTTTAGGTGAGGTTGTTTTGCACTGTCTCTGTCACTTGCTCTTTGTGAATGGAGTTCTACATTGAGGGTCATCACTTTTCCGCATGGTGTTTTATCTGCCATCATCGGTCTTTGGTTTCTTCCTTCTAAGTGTTCCATTGACCTCAAGAAAAACGTCCTCGTGATCGGCACCACAGGCTCACAGACCACCTTCCTTCCTGAGGGCGAGTTACCGGAGTGTGCTCGGCTGGCGTATGGGGCCGGGCGAGAGGAGATGAGGCCAGAAGAGATTGCAGACCGAGAACTGGCGGAAGCCCTTCAGAAATCCATACAGGATGCAGGTATTCGCAGTGGCTGGGCGCTTGGGTAGCTCCAGCTCTAGGGGGGCGGGGACCTCACCAGCCCGTAATCAGTCTCCTCGTCCCGTCAGATGTGTTCCTGTCCTCCCCCCGCCTCCTTCCGTCTCTGAGTACAACAGAGAACGTGGTGTTTCAGCAGGTCAGGAGACACAGTCCATTGCCGTGTGCGAGGTAGACTGGGGAGTTGTTGGCTCAGGCACACTTTGCAGGCCTCCCGAAAACCTTGGCCTTTTTTCCCCCCTGAAAGAAAATTATAACTGTGAGCAGATACTTTTAAGTTCAACCGTATTGGCCTGAAAATGTCCTTCCCTTTTTGTGGGTCCATTTATTTTGAAGAGTAGCGTTGTCCCTGCGACTAAGCAGCCCGAACATTATTAATGTCGACTGAAAGTGCTGCCGCCAAAGACGGAGGACCAGTAATCAATGTAGTGTTCACGCTGTTAATGAGGTCACAGTAGTGTGTCATTGGCCAGATTGAATTGAAGCTACCTCATACTTTTTGTCCTAAATCTGAATTGTAGCTTATTTCAATCTAAAATCCAAGTCAAGTTTCTGGGTAAAATGCAGGGACATGGTTTTGCTGAAATCCCACTTCCATGGGATCTCCACTTTTCCCTCTCTGTTACAGATGAGTCTGAGATGCATTTTTGAGAAATTGAAGAAAATTAACTTTGAAGTTTGGGTTATTTTAAAGTCTTGAGCTGTGATTATTCATCAGTGACTAATATCACATGTTGCATTTTCTGATACAATGAAGTGGATTAGAACTGCAAGTTCAGGCAATAGCTTTCTTGTAAAGACAGAAAAAATAAGAACTTTAAAAATAAGCGTCCAGATTGCACCCGTGTTTATTACTGGAGAACGCCCCGTGGGTCGGCCTTGAACCCCTTCAGGATGGGCGTGGACAGCAGGTGGGGGTTTCCGAGCTGGCCTCGTTCCCCACCTTCTCCTCCACCACCTTGTGGCTCGGTGTTACATCCGAAGTGCAGTTCCGAATGCGGCTTCAGTATTTTGTAGGAAGGGGAGGATTTTGGTCATCCAGACAGAGAATGAATTCATAGTTTTCATAATCTCCCCAGAAAGGCAAGCTTGGATGAGTTTGACGTACCTACTTAGAATTAGGGTTTTATATTTTCTTAGTATCTTGTCAGCTTAGTTGTAATAAAATAGGATATGTTACATTTTGTGAACTCTCCACCCCCCTACAGTTTTGGTGCTTTCTTTTTAAGAAACACTAGCCGATGGTAGTAGTACTTTCTAAACTAATAGTAGTTACTCTCTTAGGGTAATTACCTTTTATTTTAAAAGTTTGAGAGATTAAAACAAAAACCACAGGTGTCTTTAGGCATAGCGAAGGAGATACACCAATTTTAAAGATTGAAGAAAGGAAATGGCTCTTTGCACGTGTGACTGTGTGTCACTGACATTGTTTTGGCTGTGCTGATTCTTGTCATGTTTAAATAATGAAGTAATCCTGCAACATCTCGTTCTGTGTGTTTGGGACATTGACTTCCCGGTATCATCAAAATCAAAACCCTGGACATTGTAAGTATTTTTGCTAAAAAATGTTTCTTTGGTAGCTACTCTATACCAAAGTATCTTTATCTTTTCTATCAATTGAAAAGTAATTCAGAATAGGAGCCATTTCTGATGTTTTCTAAACACTGATTAAAAGATAAAGAGGTTAAGCCGGGATAATCGGGTTTGGATGCGTTTCTTCTAAAAGTAAATCTTAACTGAGAAGCGTGGAAGTGGCGGTTACGTGTGTTCACTGCCCGAGTCCACACAGAGGCGTCCGTGTCACGTGGTCCATACCCCCTGCCTGTCTCGTGTGTTTGCCCATGAGTTCTCTGTCTGTGAAATTAATTTCTTTCCAAGTTCTATTAAACACCTGTTGAAGTTAACACATGACTTTATTATGAGAGAGTTAAAGCAACCGACAAGTCTTTTGATGTTCAAACTGCGGAAACATCCCCCAGCTTTGACTCTGCCAGTTCCTGACCTTAAAGAGGGCAGAGGAATGGAGACTGTAACCCTGCATGCTGTGTGGTTTGCGTTGTTAACCCGAGTTTGCTTGTCTGTTTCCTAATTCAAACAGAGCGTCAGAAGCCATGATGCATGTAGTGTGTGTGTACTGCAGCTGGAGTGGGCCCCAGACCAGGTATTTATAGCCACTGCCTTCAGCCTCCATCCGGTCTTCGTTTGTGCTCTGTGTCTGCAGCACTCTCGGGGTTTGCGTCCAGCATCCGCCATTCCACTTGCTTCATCTGGTTACAACTAGCCTGCATATGTGTTTGTATGTCGGCATACACCTGCAAATGCAAGCATAGTTTCCTGTTTAAACATTTATCAGTGATTGGAACGGTCCAAGGTAGGGAATCCCAGTAAAAACTGTCCATCCGGCCGTTGTGAATACGAGCTCAGGCACGTCAGCGTCCCAGCCGGTTGCTGTTGGGGATGACTAGGCTGTTAGGGACTTCGTACGACCCTTCTGAGAAACTGCACACAGCTGCCTAGGGTTGCCATAGAGGAGCAGAGATTTTCACGCTGTTGGAAGGAAAAATGGAAGCAGGCGGTGACTTGTCCAGGGTCACAGAGTCGGTAGTAAAGGCGGGACTGAAGTTTTATTCTCTCAGCAACAAGAGCTGAGACTGCTTCTGTCTGCCCCTGTCCTGCCCGATTTTCCCAGCGTTCCCCGACAGCGCAGGTGTGGTCGCCGTCAGCCTGCATGTGTTGGCCGATGCACCCAGAGGAGGAAAAGTGGTCTTATAAACTGTCAACCGAGGACTTCATAGGGGTTTGCAGGCTGGTTGTAATTAGATACCTAGAACTTATTTTTTCTTTCTCTTGTAAGGATGTGTTGAAAGCAGGCATCATTTAATTATTCTTAATATCCATTGTCCTCATCGTCTTCTCCTCTCCTGTGGTACTGACCAGTCCTCCCCTACATTTAGGACTTAGGCCAGTGAAACTGACCATCTCAGCTACAGGAGGACTAGATGCTGCTTTCATAGTGAGTACAAAATACATTGAGGCCATGCTCACCTTGATCTCACCCAGTTGTTAATAACTGTCATACAGTTGCCAGAAGGCCATTATCAAACTGTGGCTCCCCTATTCCCTGCTGCTAACACGATAATTTCACTGCAATGTGTCTTTTCTGTTCGTAGTAATTCAATATTGAATCTTTTTCAGATTTAGCCTTAGAGATTGTTAAATAAAACTAATAACTGTGTTTTTAGACTGTAATGGATATAGTTTGCAGTGAGAAAATGCTGTTTTCCTGTTTATCCATAAACTAAGTAAGATCATTTCATAAGTCAGTAATTTCCTAGCATAGCTTTATCCTTTTATGTTGTTAACCAGTGTTGGATTAGAATGATCTAGAGCCATTTTAATTGGAACTGCATTGCTTCGTGGCTTCTAAAGTCAAGGTCAAGCCCCCAAATTGGATGCCAAGGTACAGATTGAAGCATTTGAGTTGCATCTGCTTTAATAGATCTTATTGTGAAATCCTTGTTGTTACCAGCCTTTGACTTTTAAATCTTATAATAATTGCATAGATGGCAGGGTTTTTTAAAATGTTTATTGATTTTTAGACAGAAAGGGAGGGAGAAAGAAAATCATCAATGTGAGAGAAAAACATCAGCCCCGGCTGGTATGGCTCAGTGGATTGAGTGCCAGCCTGCAAACCAAAGGGTCACCGGTTGGATTCCCAGTCAAGGCACATGCCTGGGTTGTGACCGGGCCCCGAGTAGGGTGTGTGTGAGAGGCAACCACACATTGATGTTTCTCTCCCTCTCTTTCTCCTTCCGTTCCCCTCTCTCTAAAAATAACTAACAAGAAATGTTTTTTAAGTGAAAAGAAAGAAACAGCAATTGGTTGCCTCTCATACACACCCCTACGGGAAATTGAACCCCCAACCTTTTGGTGCTCCAACCAGTTAAGCCCCACTGCCCAGAGCCATAAGAGATCAGTTTTTAGCTGGATCAGTGGCAAAAGGAGAGTTGGGACTGGTGTTTAATGACCTGACGACTACAGTGAGTTAGTGTTTTACCCTGCTGTCTGTGTGACTGATCCAAAAGTTGCAATGGGTATAAATCGACATTGCCCTGCCCTTAAAGTACTTAACTGGTCCTACTTAATTGTACTGTGTTAGTGTGATAAAGTAACTGACAACCTTTTCCAAGTTACGTTATTTGATAAAATGATGATTGGAATTTAATCTGCTTGATCTTTAGCTTTATTTCTGTTCTCCAAGTCAGTGCTCACATAGTTTTACCATTATTTTTGGAAGTTTAGATAGAAATAAATAGTATATTTGTATCTCTGTCTTCCGAAGATCCCCAAGCATAACATTCTTCTTTCTCTTTATGATTCCTGCTGTGCCCCAGATGCACCTGGTTTTAGGTGTCTCTTTTACAACCTCAGGGTTCACACTTGAAACGCTAAAAGTGCATTGGCAGGAGAGTCATTTGAGTGCAGGAAGCTTCAGAATTTCTAATGTGCCTGAGAATCACTCGAGAAGCTTACCGAAAATGCAGGTTGCTAGGTTCAGTGCCGAGGACGGTGCCCCAGAATCTGTGCACTTGGCAAACACCCCAGGCGACTGCAGGGGAAGCAGTGGAAGCACACACTGGGGGAGCCATTGCAGGGTTCTGAACCCCCTGAGAGCAGCATACACGTCCCTCAGTCTCGAGTGCCAACCCCGGCGTTTTGTGGGTGTTCATTAATGATACTTAGAGTAGCGAGTTACAGCAATGCCTGTTTTGTTAAGAACCTGCCTGCCTCTTATTTTGATGCTGTGATGTTGTCTACCACAGTGGTGACGGTTCTTGTATAAGTCTATGAATATAAGCAGACCTGAGTTTAAGCACCTTATTTAGTTCTATCCTGTTTAGATTCGTGTCCTTTGGTGATTTAGTGGCCTTTGTAACCTGTGGATCTCATTTCCTCTCCCTTTGGTTCCATGCAGAGAAGAGCGGGGAAGAAACTACCTCACTGGGAATGTCGTCATTACCAACTTCCGATGGGTGTGACCATCCAGCCCATCCTTCAGGGCAGAGTCCTGAGACCGGTGACCCTGCGGGGCTTGCTCGCTCTGTCTCTGCTCCAGTCGGCCCTGTCAAGCCCAGTGACCCAGGCAGCATCCAGCCTACAGCTGGGAAGGCCTCGAATTCTGCTGAATTCCAGACAGCCTCTGAAAAGAAAGAGCATCTTCCCCCCCAGGACCTTGCCGGTCATGCTCCTTCAGCAGACAGTGCTCTGGCAGCCCGGAGTCCAGCCACGCACGTGCAGAATTCACCCGGAGAAGCTGCTGTCGCAGATCACCCGGGGAAATCTCATCTCCACACAGGACAGGAAGTACCTGTCACGACGACTGGGGTGCAAGAAACACAGAGGTTTCTGGGTGAAGAAGGTTGGCCTCCAGCATGTGAGGATCCGAGTCCAGTGACTGGCCTTCAGCAGCACAAGGAACCAGGGAATCAACAGCATGAGGTTGTACCACAGAACATGCCACATGACCAAGAGCATCTTTGTGTCACAGGGGGCGTTGACCTGCTTGGAGAAAGGCAACAGAATCAACCAAAAAGTGTTGATGCAGAAGCTGCAGCGAAAGGAGGCGGGCTGCAGCAGAATGTGGACCTTCCGTGTACACGGAGAAACAGTCCGCCTTCCGAATGCTACGACTGCTCGGACTCAGAAACACTCATGGAAGTAGATACAGTTGAACAGTCCCTAGTTGCTGTGCTGAACTCAGCCGGTGGTCAGAATGCCAGTGTCAAGAACATCAGCGCATCTGATAGCACCTTGGATAATCCCTCAATGGAAGTGGAACCATCAAAATGTAACACTTCACCTGAAATTTTGAGTAATTCCATTCCCACTCAGAATCCACAGTTCCCAGGATGCAATGCGGAAATGTCCGGAATAAATAAAGAATGTGGGAATTGCTCCCCGTCGGTAAGTCCGTGCGGCAGTTGTCAGCCCTGTGTGGAGGCCACAGAGGGATCTTGCTCATCGATCACAGCAGCCTTGAAGGAACTTCATGGACTCCTGGTCACCAATAGTAAACCAGCTTCAGAAAATACCTCTGAAGAAGTTACCTGTCAGTCAAAAACAGTAACTGAGGGCCAAACAGGTTTTGGGGTCTTTCCTGAAAGATGGATCCAAAATGAGCAGCTTATAGCTACCCAGAATGAACAGTGTTCTCAAGTCTCCTTCCATCAGGCCATATCTGCATCAATGAAGACAGAAAAATTAACAGACACTTCGACTGGCTCTGGAATAGAAGACGTAGAAAGTGCTAACTTCAGGGGTCCGGGTGATGGCCTATCAACTGATAAGAAAGGTGTCCCCGAGTCTAGGGAGTCAGTAAATGAGAGCAGTTCTGTCACTCTGGCCTCGGATAAGACGTCTAATCAATTACACTGCACCTTAGGTGTCGAAATCTCACCCAGACTTGCAGCAGGTGAAGGGGAGGCACTCAGTCAGACTTTGGAGCAAACGAAGTCCTGGTCATCAGATTTCATATTGGTTAAAGATTTGGGTCAGGGCACACAGAACCCAGTGACAGGCAGGCCTGAGACCAGAGACGTCTGTCCTGAAGCTACAGGGCCACTTCTGGAATCCGAGCCGCCTACCAGCTGTCCATCATCAAGTCCCTCCATGCTTCCATCGTTCGTTTTTCCTGCGGCGGACATTGACCGGATTCTCCGTGCCGGCTTTACTTTGCAGGAAGCTCTTGGGGCTTTGCGTCGAGTTGATGGAAATGCAGACCTTGCACTTCTTATTTTGCTGGCAAAGAACATTGTAGTTCCTACGTAACCATGGAAAAGTGGGCTAGACCATACTCCATTCCCTAAAAAAAAAAGCTATACACACACACACTCTCACCACATATGCAGTATATGTAGAAACCTGTGAGCAGAATGTTGAGCCAGATTTTTTTTAAAGATTTTTTTTCAGCCAAAGTAATTTATGATCTCTTGTCTGATGATTTTGTCTATTCTATTTGTTAAGATTTGGGCCTTTTTAAATGTACTGGCAGTATGTGCATACGAAAGCCTTTTATTCTCATTAAGATGATGTATTCTGGAATAAAACTGATGATTTTGTGTCCAGCATACCATTTAGAACGAGAGTGAATGCTGCTTCAAGAAGCAGAAGCCCTGAGAAATCGCACCATCTGTGCAGCTAGGAGCAAATCGAGTTCCCAGTGAGGCTGAGTCTGTGCTGTGGGCACATGGGTTATGGCTCATCGGTTCCATTGTCACTTGACAAGCTTGACTACATGGTTTGGGTCTTCAGAATTCTCCTCAGTGCTCTGAGTATCATGATTCATCAGGTATAACAAGACACTGAAGAGTAATTGATGAGTATCTCCTAGCGTGGTACGTTATTATTTGTGTGGTTAGGGTTCAACATTTTAAAGAGATGAATCAGGAGGATTTAAAATCTGGGTTCCTTTGTACATCACAGGCTACTACATGGATTGCCACGCAGCTTGGCGGGGGGGGGATTCACGTAAGAGTGAACCATGGTGCTACCCAGATTTTTAAAAAAGTCCTGCAATTCAGTCTGCAAATGTGGTGATGTTTCAAGAACTGTGAGTGAGAAATAATGACCCAAACCTTGGAGTTTCCTAGAGCCCGGGGTTGCTAGCATCTCACTGATCATACCTCAACCCTTCATGACTAGCGATGATCTGAAGTTCAGCTTATGGGTTGACGGCAGTCCGTTTCTCTTCTAAACTCTGCTTCCACGAGGGCGTTGTTCTAAGGCTCCGTCTGAGCTGCGATCTGGTGAAATAGTGAAGCGGGAACCTTGTCGCTGGTTCATCTCGGTGCTCAGAAGGGTCTGTCTGTTCAGTGAGTGTGCTCCGTGGCCATGGAAATAGTCATTGCAGTTTCAGACTCAGGTGGCCTTGGTCGTGTATTCCATCCCTTTTCTTTCCTCAGGAGTTGGTTTTGGTTTTTTTAAGCAAGATGCGTCACATTTGTGTTTACCGTGTCAAGGTAGAGCAGGGCAGTCAGTCTCTCAATGTCCTTACTGTGGCCTTTTCAAATGTGAGGGCTTGTCCTTGGGAGTCAGTGTCCTGTGGGCCCCACTGTGCAATAATCCTGGGGGGTAGATTTCCCAGCGTCTCCCACCCTGGGGTGGGGGGCTGCTTTCTTAGGTCCCTAGCAGGAAATTTTGGTTTTTATTGAAAAGAATTTTGAGCATGATAATTCCCAGTTCCAGCTTGCAATGTGTTTGAAACAGAACCTTTGAGACAGCGATTTATGAGTTTAGTGTTGAATGACTTTGTCTTAAAGTCTGGCTCTCTTTGAAAGCTTATTTCCATCAGAATTTACATCACTGAGCACAATCAAAATGGAGCCTCATATCTTAGGAGTTTTTGACATTTCAGTTTGGGGCTAAAGGCATTTCATTTCTGCCCTTTCCCCTCTTTCTTTTGGCTCTGATACTTGTGTGTGTGTTGGGAGACATGAGTAATGTGATGGGAAGTCCCCTAGATTCTTCGACACCCTCTGGGGTTAGGAAACAGTTACAGAAGCTGTAGTTGACTGTTCCCAAGAGGACTCCCAGAACAACAGGTCAGCCAGATTGTCTTTAAAATGTTCTTCTAGACAATCACATACTGCAGACCCTTTTGCCTGCCCTACACCAAAGACGTCAGATGCATCAGGAAACGGCTTAGAGGGTTCAGTCGGCCGACTCTGAGGGCTGTTTGTCATGAAGTAGTTGATGCTTTTTGGTCGGAATCAAATCGAGTGGTAGCGGGATGTGTCTCTGCATTCACTTAATGGGTGGTGACTGGGAATTTATTTGAAGCTTATAAATTTTCAGGGCCACGAGGTGGGGTAGGGGGGAGAACTTATCAATAACAAGATTACTCCCCAAAGTCCTTCTGTATGAAGATGGGGCTTGCGGCTTTCTGGGAGTGGGTGGCGTATACCATGAGAGGAGCCTTGGCCACTGACTTCTCAGCGTGTAGACGGGAGTCGGTCCCAAAGGGGGAATATGGACTGTCGGCCCAAAAGGGCTTCATTGCAATAGTGCGTATTCATTTTCAGTAGAAAATAGGCCTATAGGTGTACATGAGTTTTTGTTAGGAATACTTTTGAGTTTAACCCACTTGCCAAATATCTTTGTCTTTTTTTAATCATTTATTTTCCAGTATGTAATTGCTTTTTATTTTTAAGACCTGATTTCTTGTCCATCATTTGTGTAAAAGTCAAGTTGTCGATATTGTCAGGGGTTTGAATCGTTTGTAAATTCGGCAGATCTAGAACACAAAGGGAATTAAAGAACACGACACTAGTCAGCCTTCACTACCAGCTTTTATTCCAAGTGCAGAAATTGGAGAATAACTTTTCCAAGAGTAAGGTGAAGTCGTGAAACTCCTCTGGTTGCCAGCGGAACTGGTAACAGCCATTCTAACCAGTGATGGGCCACTTTCCTGGCCAGCTCTCTGGTTAGCGCTTACCTCCAAGGGCGGTCTCAGTTTATTCACCAAAGAAAGATTTTTGTGTATAACTTCTGCATTTTCCCGTAAGTTGGTTGCTGTGTGCAAGAAAGTGCTTGGTAACCAGACACCGACATCTAGGTTATGGATTTTGCCCATTGACGGGGATAGGAGTGATTTCCACTGCACCCGTTGAGGCCTCCAGACACCGGCCAGTAGCCTTCACCCCACAGCTTGGGCCTTAGCCATAAACATAAGGACTACCAGTTGCTCGGCAAAGGGAACTGAGTAGACGGTGCGTGTGTTAAAACTAATTTGCTTGCAGCCTCCCCCACGTGTTTCTTCCCAAAACACTTCTCCAGCAAAGAGGGTTGCATAAAAATGGACAGATACATGAGGCTTTGTGTCCCTGGTTTTATAACCATTTCAAGTGGAATCTGCCTGTTCTTCCCTTATCAACTTCTGTCTCTAGTAAAAGCCATAAAAATCTAGTTGGTTTAACCACCAGCTGTTGTGTATATATAGATGTGTGACTGATGAATATGCTCCAGTTAACATTATGTAGATTAAAAAGCAGACAATTTTCATATCTGCAGATACAGCCTTCACTTGGGGCTTTTATCTCACCGTGTACATTAAAAAACCAGCTTTGCAAATAACTGGCCAGGAGAATCACAGTGCTTTCTGATTTTCTTTTCTTGCCTATGTGACACCCGCCCTGAGGGTAAACAGGGTAATTGTGCTGTTACCTGCCCCAGAGTTGTTAACACATCATAAGAGAAACCAACTGGTTTACGCATTCTGCCCCTGTCTAGCACAGGTACCGAAAGGCCAGGTTTCTGCTTGGACTTGGGGGGCTTAGTGCACTCTGGCCGAACTAGAAACAAACAGTTTTCCTTCTCAGAAGATGAATGTTACCTTAGGAGTTCCATAGGGTAAAAGGCTTTTTCTCTGGGAGAATTTAAAATGCCAATTCCTCTTAACAAAGTAAATTCAAAGCATGTCCCGGAGAACTGGGAGTGTAGAGTCACAGCTCAAGTTCTGTGCCCGGGTGCTCCCTCCGTGGGTGCCACTGGGAGCTCACTGAGCAAACTGAATAATTTAGGGGTGAACCTTTGATGAGCTTGATCTTCTCTTGTGCCTTAGTCTCCTCCGCAAATAGCAGAGGCAGCACATGTTGGTGAGAACTGAAAATGGAAGTGAAGTGGGAGGGGGCACATTGACGGCGGCCCTCCTGAAGATCATGGGCATACATTGGATGGTCCTGAGGCTCAGCTTTATTCATTCACAATTGTCCGACACCCAGTCATTTGGTGGAACTGGGGGGAAGGGGCGGGCGGATGGTTTGCAGGGTAAAAAGTACATGTACATGGAAGATAATCCTAAAGATGCACCGGCGATGGTCAACTTTTCCTTCTTCCATCAGGCCCTGTTCCCATGCAGGGTAGAGATAGGGAGTGTGCCTCAGCATGCTCCCCGCTCCCCCAGCGCTCAGCTGCTCTGGGACACTGACCTTCTGGGCCACTGGGCCAGCAGCACTGAGAGGCTCCGCAGGGTTGTTTTAAAGCCGTGGAGTGCAAGGTGTGGAAACGGGGCTCCAGAGCAGGAAATCTAGTGAGGGTGAGGGACGGGGCGGTAGGCAGCACTTACAAGAATTCAGGACTCTACCACCAACTCTTTCTACAGGACAGCTCCATCAAAAGGACTTTTTCTAAAATGTTTTTTTATTTTTGTGGGGAGGAGAAAGACCAAGAGAAACATCAGCGTGAGGTTGCTTGCCTCTCACGTGGCCCCCACTGGGGACTGGCCTGCAACCCAGGCACGTGCTCTTGACCGGGAGTCCAACCAGTGACTCACACGCAGTCCACTGAGCTACAAGCCAGAGCAAAAGGACATTTTAACCCATCATTTAGAATGTCATCATGTAATGTAATCTTGAAGCATACAGGGAGAATTTCTGGTTTTAGTAACTTTAGAGGTTTACGATGAGCTATGTATTGGTATTGGTAACCTCGACCCTCTGGGGCTTGAAGGTGTGGGATGTAGCTGATGTTTTAGGGCACGGTCTCGTGGAATGAAATCTGCAAGGGGAATGGTTCAAGGGCGTAGGAGTTTGAGAATATTTCTTTCGCCTAAAAAATCTAAGCAAACTACAGAAGACCTGGAGTGGAGCTGTGGAATACAAAACGAGAGTAATTTTTACAGAACTCTATCTCTTTAAATAGGTACGATAAGGTTTTCATTAGCTGACTCGAGGAAGGGACATGCTGGGATGTTTTCCTGGGCAGTACATGTCCGATGAGAAATGATGCTGATCACCAGGAGTTTGTTTCACACAACCTTGAATGAATGCATCTGTGGCTTGAAGAAAAAGGCAGGCAGATCGGTTTAAGGTTTATCTCCAAATGCCTTTGGTGTGAGGTTGCCTGACGCTGCCCAGACGCCTTTTTCCTTCTCTGAAGGCCCCACAGCTGAGTCTGTGCCACCGGAGACCTTTCTCTGAATGATTATGTTTCCACACTCTGTTCTCTTCATCATCCTATTGAGATAGTTCTGGTGATGGGGCAACTCGACATACTAATTGCATTTGCCTTTTTCACTGTGTATTGACAATGGAAGTTACTTTGCTCATTTTAATCCAAAATATCATCTTCATGGCAAGTTGGGCCAGTGGCCTTTGCACTCAAGTAAGGTTTGTTTACTAGAATTACAGCCATATTTGGCAAATGTTAACACACAGAAACTGCTCTTTCCCCCCTTATTTGTTCTTACAGTTGCTCATGTATGTTTTCCTGACTTCTGACACTTTGAGACTACTGCATCTTAGAAGAACTGGGCTGATGGCAAGATAGGCATGCCAAGAGCTCAGTCTCTCCCATAATGCTTTGGTTTTGAGAGTTGGAAAACTCTGAGAACTTAAGGGAACCAAACTCAGGAATCCCAAAGTTGGTTGCATTGTGCTGTTGGCTTAGGGGCTGGACACAGGGCCAGTCTGCAGCTGCGTGAACTAGGTGCATTTGGGTTTGAATTTTTGTCATATAACGGAAGTGTAAGTCAGCTCTAAATAATTAAAACACTTTATTCTTTTTTTAATAGGAACTTTCTGAAGAAAGGTGATGTGTAAAACATTTGATATTTAAGACAATAAAGTTTTTATCGTAAGACTCTTGTTGGACCAATTTCTTTTAAGTTGAGATGGCTGATTACCCCTTATCCCTGTCCCTCTCTCCCTGCCCCTTTAACTTCTACCCAGGCTCTGTGATTTGCCAGGTGCCTGACCTCCAGAAGAAATGGGCATCTGCAAGCCATTGAAGTAACTTTGAAATTACCACTGCAGAAGGATAGCTGCCTGCTCGTGTATAAGATGTGTGTGTTGTGGCTCTGCGTGGGCAGCTGACCCCCAGAAATAGAAATAACACTGGTGATGGGTGTTGTGGTCCAGACTATTGTCTGGAGCCAGGCTGCTAGGGTTTGAATTCCAGCTTTGCCACTTACTAGCTATGTAACTTTGGGTAAGTTGCCTGACCTTTCTATGCCTCAGTTTTCTCATCTGTAAAATAGGGATTAAGCAAGTTAATGCATATAAAGTCCTTAGAAAATCACTGGCACATAGCGAATGCTCATTAGGTATTAGCTAGTGTTCATTGCATCACCTTAGATATTTGAGAATGCTAAAGGGAATTTCTGGAAGTTGGGCAGTTCTAGCAGTCTGATGCGTGGGAAGAGAGGGCTTTGCCCCATGCAGTCAATGAAGGGTCTGCCAGGGCTCTGCCCTCTTCAACATGTGGCTTCCAAGGTTACTTTGCAGCTGACATGCCAGGAAGGGTGCGTGTTGCTCATGGAAGTCTATACAATACCAGGCCTGGGAGTGGCGGGCGTCACTTCTCTACCCACATTGCACTGGCTGGAACTTAGTCATGTGGCCATATTACCAAACTGCCAGGGAGACAGAGATCTAATCCATTTGTGTGCACAGGAAGCTGAGTACAGCTGGGTGGTCAGCTGGCTGTCCTTCAGCTTCACCTCACATAGACCACACATACCTTTCCCCCAAGGAGAGGGCCCATATCCCATCCAGATACACCGCTGACCTCAGTCCAGGATGCCCTGCCATGCCCTGTTCTCTCCTTCAGGTCCCAACTGGCTTTTTATGGTTTGGCAAACAACTGGAGATGAGATGCCTGCTCCTACACCGTACATATGCAGGTGTTGGCATGGGCAGAATAACCGTGAGAGAAGTTACCTAAAAGTGCTGAATTACCACCCAGCACTGCTTCCCCGCCCACAGCTGAGTGTCCCAGTGGGATTCACCGAGCACACCAGTCCTTACCTGTGGGTTTTGTTCTTTAAAAAGTTAGACCTAGGGTGGCTTGGTTCCTCCTAGAAAGTTTCTAAAGCCGACCTGTTTTCCTCGGGTATCTGGAATTGAAGTGCCCCGAGCCAGGAATCCTCGTCCACCACCACCTCCTACCCTGGTCCTCCTGCCATCTTCACTCCTGTCCCCAGAAGTAAAAAGCCACTTCATTCTTCCAGTTGCTCATTGAAACCCTGAGTACTTCCACAACCTGCATCTGGTCTGCTCTAAACCCTGTTGACTCCATTTCAAAATCTACTCAAAATCTGATCGTTTCTAGAATCCCAGTCCCAGACAGCCACGCCCTCTCACCTGGGTTATTGCAATAGGTGTCCCTGCTCCTGCCCTCGTCTGCCTATGTTCTGTTTTTAGCACAACTGCCGCCGTGATTCTGTTAGATCAGGTCATACCTCTCCCCAAAGCCCGTCAGTGGGTCCCCAGAATGCCCAAGGCCACTATTTACCTCTCGGCCTTCACCCCTGCTCCCCCCCCCCCCACACTCAGCTCTCAGACACCCATGCTTGACCTCACCATGCTCTCTCCCACCTCAGGGCCTTCCCGTTTGTTACTTCCTTAGCCCGGAATGCTCTTTCCCTAGACACCTTTATGACTTTTTCTCACTTCCTTCAGGTCTTCACTCAAACATCACCTCAGTAAGCCTTCTCTGGCTACTCTCCCTAAAATTACAGTGACCTTTACCTAACACACTCTGCATTTCATGTCTGTACCTCATTTATTGTCTTTCTTCCCCATTAGAACGTGACGTCCACGATGGTAAGGGTTTATGTCTCCTTTTCATTGCTATTTCCCCAGTGCCTGGTACATTGTAGGTTTTGAAGGAATAAATAAATCCATGAACACAATTATACTGCCTCAGTGTATCACTTACAAGGCCCTGAGGGGTTGAACCGTAAGTGGGGTGACAGAGCAGAACTGGGCCTGAGACCCAGCCAGCTTATCGAGGTGTCAGTTTGCAAGTTTTAGGGGTTCTAGACCAGGGTGACTGCTGAATCTCAGTTTCATGCGGATTTTAAAAGACAGGTGACATTCTGAGCTCAGTAAGTTTGCAGACATCCGTGTGAAGTAGTACCTGTATCGTTCCCATGTGTCGGGCTCATCTGGATGCTGATGAACGGCCCCTCTGCCAGTGGCTGGGCAGACTCACTGCAGTTCTTCCTGGTCTTCCTAGAGTGGAAAGACCTAAATCACACAGACATAAAGAGAAGCGGCCTTATATCAGCTCTGGTTCTCTCTGTACTTTTAATTCTGTAGACATCTGAAAATTTTTTCTGCATCCTTGTTAAATTAAAAATTAATCAGGGGATATTGATTTAATAAACATTGAGTATCACATGCCAGATGGCGTGAGCTGAGCAAAGGTGCATGTTCCTAGGGACGCTCCAGCAGTCTCTTTGAAGAATGGCAACAAACAAAACGCTGGGCAGTAATACTTTCTATGATGAAGATTTAGTAGATTGGGCCTTGGCCAGGTAGCTCGGTTGGTTAGGGCATCATCCTAATACCCCAAGGTTGCAGGTTCAATCCCCAGTCAGGGTACACACAAGAGTCGACCAGTGAATGCATAAATGAGTGGAAAATGGTGATTCTCTCTCTTTCTCCTCCTCCTCCTCCTCCTTCTTCTCTGTAAAATCAATACGTAAAAATATTTTGGTAGATTGGCATATTGGAAGAGACTAGAGACTACTTAATGTTGGGTAATCCATTAGAAAGTTCTTCTGAGAAGCTAAACTTTGAGCTTTGACTGGCAAGGCTCCTGCCAGGCAAAGATTTGGGGTGTATGTTAGGCTAGGCTGAGGGAACAAAAAGGCCAAAATGTTAGTAATGTATTACAAGCAAAGTTTTTATCTTGCCTATGTAACCGACTGTCCAAGAAAAGTGTTCCCGGTTAGCGGGCAGCTCTCCTCCACACTGTACAGTGATTCAGGGCACCAGGCTCCTGACACCTGGTAGGCCTGACACCTGCTTTTGCTTCCTCCTACCTGGTGGAAGGAGAAGCAGCATGGAGAAGCCCAGCCTAGCAGTGGACCACTTTGTTTCTGCTCATGTTGCCCTGGAGAGAACTTGGTGGTCGAGTCCTGCCTGCCTCTAAGGAGGCTGGGAAATGCAGTGCCTGGCTCCACTGCTCCCACTGTGGACAGAGACGTTCTGGACGAACGGCCGAAGGCCCCTGCCGCACTGGGAAGAGCATCCCCAGGTGTGCGCCCACTGGCACGTGTGAGAGAGAAACAAGGCTGGCAGGGACCGGCACACACCAGCCGAGAGATGGGGACACGGGGCAGAGAGAGGCTGGGGCAGGTCAGACCTCTCCTTGGAGGCCGCAGGGAAGAGGGTGGGTGTCATTCCAGAAGCTATGACAGGAGCTGTTGGAGGCTTTTAAGCTGGGAGGTTGAATGGTACCCCAATTTTCACCAACCCTGTCTTGCTGACTGGACAGTATTGAGGAAGGAACTGGATCTTCCACATCTGAAAATAAAACCCCTTAGATTTAAGCTGCCTCATTTTGGTTTCCCCAGTCCTAAAGTTGTGGATTGCACTGGTTGGTGCCCGAGTTCAGGCACGGGGACCGGACAGGTGCTGGTGTGTACAGCCAGCCCCTCCGATCTCCCTTGGAGGCGGGCACTGGCTCCATGAGCCTGATGGCCAAGGAAGTACTTGTTCCCTCCTCCGGAAACGCGAGCATATTTGCCTGGAGTTGGGGGCAAAGGGAGGAAGAAGAAGGACGAGAAGAGGGAGGAGGAGGAGGAGAGGAACAATAACAACAACCAAATCATTTTTTCTGTGTCACCGATTTGGAAACTACAACAGAGCGGTTTGCCCGGGGCCCTGGCATGAGTCAGTGGAGGCTTTTGATTCCTGATGCCTCAGAGTCTCATGCACTTTGCATGTGATCAGCAAAGTCTTGTGCAATAAATGAATGGATTTCAATTTCGAGTTTCAATGACTGCCAATAACAGGATTGATAGGCACCCCGGTTGGGGGTGGTTCCTTTTTTTTTTTCCTTCCTTTTTTTTTCTGAGTTGCCTCATTTTTGACAGGCAAGAATGGATTCCACATTTGAGCTCTAGACATGGGACAATTATCTGCACGTAAACACCCACACTTGGGCCCCTCCCCGTCCCTGCACAGAGTCTTGTGAGACTAAAATGTGCCTCTCTTCTCCCCACCCCGCCCCGCCCCACTCACGTACACACGCACATGTTGGGAATTTGGTAGACTGTGAGACCAGCCACTCTTCCTGAATGCTGTAAAAGGTTGGAGGTGACCAAACCCAAGGTGTGAAGACGAAAACAGTATGCCACAAATGCCACCACCTTCCCACATCACAGGGATACAGACAAGCGATAAAAATGCCTGCGGAAGGTGTAGCTAGCATGCCTGAGCACAGGTCAGGAAGCTGCTGCCCAGCAGAAGATGCTGCCCAGAAGCTGGCTTGCTGATTAACAGCAGTAGCAGAATCACGAAGCCAGTTGGTTCCACTTCGGGTCTAATGGATTCTCATGAGCCAGGGCTGCTTCCAACAGGTTGGGGCCCGCAGACACCCTGACATGGGTGGAGTTGGAAGGGAGGGCGCCCAAGCGATGGGACTGGTCATTCAAGCCGCGTTTCCTCCTACTTGCCACAAACACCTTCAGACATACTGACTGTTTCTTTCCTCATTCAAAGGAATGTGTCCTCAGCGCTCAGCCTTTTCTCTACCAGTCCAGTGGCTCCAGCCCCGCCTGTCATTCTGTCCCTGCCCAGCTCCACGGAAGCTAATCTCTCATTTTCCTAATCTCAGTACTAATAAGAAAATGCCCTGCATTTAGAGACTTTGCTTCTTTCCTTAAAGGGTCAGACCAAAGGGGTCCCGTCCTAGAATAAGACAAAGAAGTGTAAAGGGATCCTTAGCTCAGAAAGGACACCAGTGGTTTCTAGGCTCTACCACCTGCTGTATGATTTCAGGCAAATTACCCCCATCCCTCGATTTTGTCTGTGGGAGAATGAGTGAGGAGGACACGCCAGGCAGACGCAAAGCACTGAGTTCCGTGCGAGCCGCAAGTCGGTGCTCAGTGCGTCATCGTCATCGACCTCCCCGTGAACAATTCTTGCCCTAGATCCCGAGGTGGAGCTAGAATGCAGCAACTGTTTCTCAAGTACTTGTTCTCGTTCCTTCTCCCGACACATACTTCACCCCCTAGTCAGTCACAGAAAAACAAAACAGTGCCCCGGCCCGTGTGGCCCCATTAGCTGGAGCGCCCGCCCGTAGGCAGAAAGGTCACTGGTTTGATTCCAGGTCAGGGCACATACACCCAGGTTGAGAGTTTGGTCCCCAGTTGGGGCGTGTGAGAGAAGCAACCGATGGACGTTTCGCTGGCACATTGATGTTTGCCTCCGTCCCTCCCTCTCTCCCTTCCCGTCTCTAGAGTCAACAAGCAGGTCCCTGGGTGAGGATTAAAACAAAACACCACAAAACAACCACCAACATCTTGGGTCTCCCCTGGGGAAACGCAGGGACGGAGGGGGATCTTCAGGTGTGTGGAGGGTGAGGTCTGTCCAGGATCAGCTGCAGAGTCGGTGTGTCCTGTAGGTGGGCGTGACTGGGTCTGGGAGGCTGAGCACTGGTCACCTGGGCAGAGGAGAGGGAGCACTGGGCAGCTGAGGCTGGGGGTCCAGGGCCCTTAAGAATGAGAAGGGGAATGCTCGCCCTGCAACGTGTACATATATTGAATCTCGTTGTAGACCGTGTAACTGATGTCAATTATATCTCAGTTTTTGAAAGTGACAACAAAAGTATGTGTTGACGTTTAACAGAAGAATAAAAAGGAGAGACGAGTACCAGGAAGACATTAATTTGGGCCCAGAGGAGTGGAGGGGGCCAGGCAGGGGGCTGAGAACTCAGTGCAGACAGTGAACTCAGAGCCAGGGGCGGGGTGGGCCCCGGGGGTGCAGCCCGGCCGCAGAGCCAGAGCCGGTGTTGGGGAGGCGGGAGAGACGAGGACCTGACAGTGGGGGCCGCAGGGGGAGCGTACGGAGGGCAGGACCCGGGCCAGTGAGGGTCAGAGGGCGTGGGAGGCGGGGGGCAGGTGGATATGGGGTGCTGGGGTGTCCAGGCCGCCCACAGCCCGGGGACCAGGGCCTGTTCACTGAGGGGGGCCGGGCATGGCGGAGGCTTTGCGCTAAGGAAGGGGAGGGAGTTGTGGGGTCTCCAGGCTGAGGGGCAGGCATGTGGGGGTCCCCTGGGTACCCGGCCGAAAGGACTACAGGAGCTTGGGGTAGCTGAGGGCTGGGGCCAGGAGCCTGTGGGAACCCCGGAGTCCGTGGGCTGAAAGTCTGGGGACCCCGGGGTCCGTGGGCTGATGAGAGTCTCGGGGACCCCGGGCCCGTGGGCTGATGAGAGTCTCGGGGACCCCGGGCCCGTGGGCTGATGAGAGTCTCGGGGACCCCGTGTCCGTGGGCTGATGAGAGTCTCGGGGACCCCGTGTCCGTGGGCTGATGAGAGTCTCGGGGACCCCGGGGTCCGTGGGCTGATGAGAGTCTCGGGACCCCGGGCCCGTGGGCTGATGAGAGTCTGGGGACCCCGGGTCCGTGGGCTGATGAGAGTCTGGGGACCCCGGGTCCGTGGGCTGAGGGGCGGGCCTTGGTTCCCGGGGTCCCGGGGCGTGAGCGTCCCAGCCGCCCGCCGGCCCAGGCGCCGCCCCGCCTGACATCAGTTCCGCCGCCGCCCCGCCGCCGCCGCGCACAGCCGCGGCCTCCATCCCCGCCGGGCCGGGCGGAGCGAGGGGCCGGGCGAGGCGAGGGGAGGGCCGGGCGGCGGGCGCCGGGCCCCGCGGCCGGCACGACGGAGCCCCCGCACGGCCGGCCGCAGCGGTTGGCGGCGGCCCCGGGCCCCCGGCGCGGGAAGCGGCGGCGACGGGGCGGCGGCGGCGGCGACATGGAGCCACGGGAGGTGAAGGACCGGATCCTGGAGAACATCTCACTGTCCGTGAAGAAGGTGAGCGCGGCCTGCTCGTCCCGCCCGGCCCGACCCCTCCCCGCGCCCCCTTCCCCCGGGCGGCGCACCGGGGTCAGGGTGCCCCTGCCCGCGGGGCTCGGGGACGCCGCCCTTCCCCGCCGCGACCTGGGGGCCGAGGAGCCGCGGGCCGGCGGAGGGGAAGCGGCGCCGCTCACGTGAGCGCCGCTGCCTCCGAGCTATTTTTAAAGAACAAAGTTGAGGTCAGCGTCCCCAGCCAGGCCCCGGGGGCCCTGCGCCCCCCCTCCAGCAGCAGAAAAGCCCCGGGAGGACCCCCGCCCGCCGCGCATCTCTGGGCAGCATCCCTGCATCCTCGGCCTCCTCCGGCTTGCCGCTCCGCGGGAGGGTCCGAGGCGTGGAGGGCAAAGGCTGGCCGGCAGCCGCTTCCAGTTTTCCCAGGCCCGGTGACAGTTCGGGGCCTCCGGGGCCTCGAGGGTGGCGGTTTTGAAGGGGCTTTTCAGAGCTTTGACTGAGAACCTGGAGCCCCTGGGGATTGCATTTGGGGTGGTGGCTCCCAGGACTTAGTGACACCGCAGGCCCCTTGCTCAGCGGGGCTCCCCTGTTCCAGGTAGAAAAAATACTACCTATTGGAGGGTATGTGATTGTGTGGGGGACGAGTCAGCTTACCTGAAAAAGAGTCCCGTTCTGGAAGATGGAATTCATTGTCACTTAAAACAAAACCAGAACTGGCAGTCATTTCAGAATGTTGATGGATTTTTTTTTTCCCTAATTTGAATTCCTCGATCATCCAGAAACTGGGGGGTGGGGGTGACTTGCGGGTGGGGAGGGAGGCCCATCAGATTATTTGCTCACTTCAACAAACCAAAATGAAGAAAATTAAATGGACCATTATGTTTAAATAACTTTTGCTCACTCAAATGCCTCAAAAGTAACATCGGCCAGCAGTTTTACCTTTTGTAAAGATCTAAAAGTAGATTCAAAATGATTTTACTAAGATACTCCTCTAAAAGCACGACCCAAAGTAACATTGCAGGCATCCAACAGAAGTTTTGTTTATTTAGTTTTCCTGAACTTTGCTAATGTAATTGGAGTGTAGATTTTTTGTTTTTTGGTTTTTGCTCACTCAAGGACTGCAGGCAGAATGAGCAAATGCTTTGTTAAAAGGCAGTAAGTCTTCGTAATAGAAGAGAAAGAGGCTGCTGACTTCAGTCCTTCCAGTCCAGGCTGTTATGGCTTCAGGTGGGCCAGGTGCTTTGTCTTTGGCTTTCCAACAAGTGAGTGGAGACAGCCCTGGGCAGAAGGACGGGAGACAGGGACACTGTCATTCTCGTCAGCACAGACCTTTGGAAGGTGGAGATACACTCTGTAAATCAGAGGAGTGAATTATGAAGCAGTTGTTTGTCAAAGTTCTTCTAATTGTATGGGTTTGGACAAGCTCATTTTATTGAGCCGTAACGCATACCAGAAGACAGAAGCCGCTCCCTAGAAGCTGGAAACCCACCCCTGGGTGTCTTGCCAGGGACTGGCATCTTTGTTAAGAACATGGATTCTGGAGTCTGGCCATTTCAGTTGAATACCTGCCTCGCCAGTTAGTAACCCTGTAACCTGGGGTAGGTCCCTTAGCCTCTCCATGTCTCAGTGTCCCCATCCATAAAGCAGGGATCAAATCGGCTTTGTTTGAAGAGTTGAGGAGAGCAAGTATGAAGAGCGCTCAGCGTGATGCTTAGCGCGATGCTTGACCCAGGCTTGCTAAGCTGTCTGAGTTTGTTTTGGCTAAGGTGGCAAACTAGGTGGCTTATAAATAACATTTATTTGTCGCAGTTCCCCTCCCCCAGGTTGCAGACCAGTTTCTCACCACGGGGGAAGGGATGTGGGAACTCTGGGCGGGGCGGGGGGGGGCGGTGTTTATTCTACCAGGGCTCCACCCTCCTGACCTAAGCACCTCCCAAAGGCCCAGCTCCGAACACTGTCACACTGGGGGCAGGGTTTCAGCAGGTGAATGGGCGGCGCAGATGTTCAGTCTGCAGCATAAGCGGCAGTTATGTCTGTTTGTCGCGGAGCCGGTTGCTCACTTGTGCAAGACCTGGGGATGGCTGAGTGCTGCCCCACCTGAAGGCTGTTATACAACACCATCTGGACCAAGTACCGCCTTCCGTTGGTCCTCAGCGAACTGTTTTGTGATTCTTGCCCCACGAGGTGCGTTGGGTCTCCTGAACTAGATAGAGCATCTGCTTCTCACTGGGATCAGGGTGCTGGGTACGGCAGTCGGCGCTGAGGGCAGCCGTCTCGGGGTCACATCTGTCCTGGAATGCAGTGTCATTTAGATTTGTCCAGCACTGTGAGAGTGGCTTCCTACCACTAGTAAAATGTTCTTTTTTAAAAACACATTATTTATTCATTTTTAGAGAGAGGAGAAGAGAGGGAGAAAGAGAAGGAGAGAAGCATCAGTGTGTGGTTGCCTTTCACATGCCCCCCCCAACTGGGGGGCCGGCCTGTAACCGAAGCATGTGTCCTGACTGGGAATGGAACTAGCAACCCTTTGGTTCTCAGCCCACGCTCACTCCCCTGAGCTGCACCAGCCAGGGCTAGTAAAATGTTTTTACCGATCCTTGTCGGGTGAAGAAACTGAGGTGTGGATTTCTACAAGAAAATAAAACCCCCCCGTTGTGTATTACTGTGTCTGGAGAGGGAGTCGTTCAGAACGTGTTGTTGAGGTAGAATTCACCTACACCCCCGTCTGGCTGGGTGAGTTCTCCCAAAGTGAGCACACCTACACATCCCGCGCTGGGGTCAAGAACCAGGACGTGACCATCATCCCAGAAGCTCCGCCCATTCTACTCCCCTGCCAGACACCACACCCCAGTGTAACCCCTGTCCCCAAGCACTGTTTTCAAGTTCAGCTGTTTTCACCCCTAGATTCTGTGAGGATGAACGTGGGCTGTGTAACATGGAGGGACCTGCTGTTCTGATTTGAAGGCAGGCTTCCCCGGGGGTTGGAGAGAGAGGAGAGTTTCATAGTTAGACAGGTAAGTGGACAGGATCACAGTGGAAGCGAGGTCCGTGTGTCCCTGAAAGGGTGCAGTGCTTCCCAAGGCAGCTGTGCAGCACAGCGGACACAAAGGCAGGCTCCAAGGGGCACAGACCAGGCCCTGGGTTTGAATTCTGGGTTTGGGCCCTGGTGACCCCGGCCAATCACTGGACCTGAGGCAGCCTCGGCAGCCAGAACTGACTCATGGGGTTGCAATGCTCATGAAATCACGGGAGATGATACACTTAAAGCGTCCGGCACAAATGGCAAGGCCTGAACAAACTCTCGGCCGCTTCCGTCTCCTGCGAGTGTCTCTGCAAACTCTGCTCTCATGCAGGGTCCAATCAGCCTTACACTACACTTTTCTCTTTGTTCAAGCCCGGGGTTTCCAAACCTCCTTGGAAAGGCCAGATGGTAAATACTTCCAGCCCGCACTGTTTTTGTCTCAACACTCAGCTCTGCCCCTGCAGCTAAAAGCAGCCGCCCACAGCCTGGACCCGTGGCTGGGATCCAGTAAACCTGTTTACCAGTTTGCAGGCAGCAGGCTGGCCTCTGTACACGTGGACACGTGTGTGCATGCAGGAAAGTCCTCGCCAGGGTAGGCTGGGGACCGCTTCCAGAGACGGTGAGAGCAGCCCAGTTCACCAGGTCTCTGTTGTAACTGTCCTCGCCCATTTGGTCAGGCTTGTGGAATGAATACAGACACTTGTCAATCCCATCATGCGTCTGTGTGTTGAGGTTTTCAAAAACATATACTGATGATCATCCGTATGTCCTCGCTGTCCTGGGCCCTAGGAGGGTAGTAGCGAGCTGGGCAGGTAAGATGCCTAGCCTATGGAATGAGTATTTTCGGTAGGAGGAGGCGAGTGATGAATTAGTGCCCAAGCCAATACGAAGATGGTTTCCGACGTGACAGGTGTTACTCGGGCATCAGGCAGGAGAATGTGATCAGTGATTGGCAGGGGAGTTTGCTGTGGATGAGGGATCAGGGAAGACTTACCTAAGGAGGTGGTGACATTGCATTCAGCAGGGGACACTGACTAGGACAAGAGAATGAGATGCTATCCTAAGAAAATGAGTAGTTGTTTTAAAGAACGCACAAATAGCTCGGGAGTGTGTGAAAGAAAAAGTAAGCAGCTCCTGTTCTCCGTCCCCTCAGCCCTAAGTCTGCTCCCTTTGAACAGGGTGACTGCATGAGTTTTGATAAAGTCACTGGCCTTCAGGGGGTGTTGCTGGGCCGTGACAACCCTCCCTGGCCTGGGTCTCCCCCGTCCTCAGCTGGACTGCCCCACTGGTTTGGCTCTGGGTGAGGTTTCGTTTCTGGCCGGGTGCACCGTGCATGGGCCAGGGAGTCTCCCAGTCGGGGTCGGCTGGTGAGTGAGCAGCTGTCCAGCTGAGCCTGTTGGAGCAGCTGCCAGGGGTGGGCTTCCCCCGGCCCCATTTTCCCGCTCCTTCGGGGCTGAGATCTGCCAGAACATTCACAATGAGCCAGGGCGGCCCTGAGTAGGCCTGGCTCCCTGGGTTGGGCAGCGTCCCACAGACAGAAAGATGCTGGTTCAGTTTGTCAGGGCACATGCCAGGTGCATGCGAGAGGCAGCCGATCGATGCTTCTCTCAAACATCAGTGTTTTGCTCTCTGTTTCTCACGCTTACCCCTCTCTCTAAAAATAAATAAATACAATTAAAAAATAAATAAATAAATGAAAACTAGGGCAGCTCATTTCTGGAGAGGGGCTGGTGGTTAGGGGTACGTGGGAATTAGATTGACCATTTGCTTTCAATCAAATAGTTTTGTTCTCTCTGGTTTCATGGAAAGCCCCAGTTCTGAAAACCCCTCAGGAGTCCCCTGGGCAAAGCTCTAAATAAAATAATGTATGCATACCAGTTTTATAACCCGAAGGCTGAGGGTCAGGCCCGCTGCTCCTCCCTTCCCCTCCTGCCCCCTCTTCCCCTTCTTCCCCTTCCCTGCCTGCGTGCCGACATGGGCAGTTCCT